ACCATTGTGGTATTCGGAATCAGCACATTCGATTACCTATTGTCAACTGAGTTAAAGCTCAAAAGCGAGGAGGCAGTTGGTGGCCTTCCCTCATGAGTCTAGTTCGTTTCTCACTTTTAGTGTCAAAGCAATAACATTTTTTAAAAGGACGGTCTCGATAGCTAGAAATGAGGTGTTCGCTGAAAACCTTAAGAACAAGGTTACGAAAGTTGTCAAATTTTGTTGATGTACACAATATTTGAGTATATCTGAGTATACAATAATGATCGAATATATCTGGAAGTGCAATTGACAACTATCATCAAAAGTTTCTTGCTACTGAAGAGTGTGAACTAGCAATAAAATGAAATATTATTATTATAAGAAAGAGACAGAATAACATTCTTAGTAAGCATAGGATTATTATTATCAACAACATTATTTCAAGTCAAAAAAAAAATGACAAGGCAAATGATAAATTTGATTTTGCTTGTTGCATATTTACTAATTGCAAATTCATTAGTTATTAATGGTGATAGTTGTTATTGGCTTGGTTGTCATGCCCATTCGGCTGACTCTTGGTGTCCACCAGGTTAGTTTTTGTTTTCATTCAAAAGACAATACTTCTCCATTATTAAATGATACTTTGTTTGTTTAAGGTACATATACAAAAGATTGGGGCAAATGTATGGGTAAGTAAACAAGTATTATATATGCTCAATTGTTATGGTTGCTATACTGTCGCATGAAATGTGCAAAATTATTTTCACAAAAAACGTTGAACGGTTTTGATCGAATCGTTAAAAATGTTGTATAAAAGCGTTTCTTTTTGCATTTTATCGACTACGATGGTCATAGTATGCGATCAAGAGGTCTACGAGATAATTCTGTTTGTTCCGAGCTCACTGTGGGATCTGGACTACAGGATTTCAGGACAAGCAATAAATCCAGTGGATCTGAAATGCAGGATTTCGAGACAGGAAAAGTTTGTTCCACAGATTTCTAGCACAAACACAATTTTTATTTCGAAATAATGTCGATTGTGGAAGAACAAAAGATTTTAACTGATCAAGAATTAATGTCTATGAGTATGAAAATGTACATGGTAAAAATTTTGTTTAGAAATCATTCTTCTGATGAGCTTAGTTTTAAGACGAACACTATCGTGCAAGTTGAAAGATGTTGTAATATGGTTCTCGACTAGCTGAAGATGAAAGAAGATACAGATTTCTTTTGCACAATAAAAGCAAATTTAATGAATTTTTGCCAGAAAAAATTTCATTTTCGATTATTGGCTTCTACTATCTCAAAAATTCAATTTCCACTAAAAAGAGCCATTAAAATCTTCTCTTTGTCATAATATTTATTTCTATTGAAATAAACTTTTTGAAGGTTTTATTTTCTTATTCTTTCGTCAGGATCATCAAAAATAAGAGAACTATTTTTATAATCAATAATTATCATCTGTTAAAACGAAAAATCTTTTCATAAATTAACTTTTGTCTGCAACGTTAAAAAGTTGTTTACTCTCTCTTATAATTCAAAGAAAAAGAAGTATTCGTATAACACAGATCGAGTAGTGGACAATATGAACGATGGTTGATTGATTATAGTAGAGAATAGACGTTTTTCTAAAAGTTTTAGTTTTATCGGTGAAGTTGACTTTTTTAAATTTGTTTTTTTAATCTAAATATGTCTCTGTCAAGAACAATGCTGCAGCTTTAGATATTTCTTATTTTCAGGTGGTTTTGGTAAACAAGAATATTGTTGTAAAAAGAACTATAATAAACGAACCATGAATGCTTATGTATGTTATTAGAAACAAAAACTTAATTATTTATGCCATATTTTTATTATCATTTTGTTTCAAAAAATTTTAGGAATTTGAACAACAACCCGATGATGACGATGATAGTGAACAACTGTTTGACAGTGAATAGTAAGCAGACGGATTAGTCTGCCTATATTTCACAAACGAATTTAAGAAACAAGATTACTTATAACTACATCCTCTACTTTTTTCTTTACATTTATTTTTATTCAATTAAAAATTTTATTTTTTTCACAAATAAGAACTTGATCTAAATATAGTTTATTTGATTCAACAAAGCGGTTGGGCCCATTACATGTTGAGAAAACTTTTATTTATGTTTTTAAAATTTGTACTTTCTTTTCTTCTTTTCAATACATATAAATTAGTAAGCAAACATTTTAATAAACGATGTATCTGATCTTCACATCGAGTTGTGTGCAAATCATACACACACACACACACACATCCATCTCAATCAAAGTTCCTCTCGAGCACGAGTTGCAGAACTTCTGTCTATTTTTGGTTTTAAGAAAAGATTTTTATTATTTTCGTGCTACTCTATAGGAAAAAGGGTGTTGCGCGAAAGCTGAAAATGGGTTTTAACTTTGATGCCACAGAAAACATCCTCTTTCGAGGAATTCCTTGATTGCTTTTACTCTTCTTTTCTTTTTAAATATACTCGAGGAATGAGAGGGAAAATAGTAAAGCGAAAGTAGTGGTAATAGTATCGCGTCTAGATGGCTTATTTAGCGGAGCCATTTGTCTCATTAATTAACTGAGCCATAATCACTAACTCTGCTACCGTAAAAGTGATTCCGACGCTTTTTTCTGCTAATAGCTCGCCCTTATATCTTTCGAACAAAGCTTTCACTTGTCTTGTTTTGTGAAGAAAAGTGTGCTTAACAAAATGAAGTGTATCGAAGCTGTACAATTGTTGATTACGAAATAATCGTGACAGACAATATTCAGCACTAATTTTAAATCTTTTTTAAAACAGAGTATTCTTCAATATAGTCAACGATTGTACAAAGCTTCGATACACTTCATTTTGTTAAGCACACTTTTCTTCACAGAACCAGACAAGTGAGAGCTCATTTTGTTCGAAAGATATAAGGGCGAGCTATTGGCGGAAAAAAGCGTCGGAATCACTTTTACGGTAGCAGAGTTAGTGATTATGGCCATACTATATATATTTTCTTTTCATTTTCGTCTGATAACAATATTTCACTTCTATATTTAACAGAGACTTTCTGAGCTCATTGAGAATAAAACAAGAGGCCCTTAGGACCCTTTTGTTCGTGAAGCGCGAAGGAATAGACAAATCGAACTTTATATTGAGGAAAGACACAGTCTGAGGAAGATAAAGATCAAAACAGACACCCCCTTAAGTGTTTGTCTGTACTCTAATGAACGTATTTATTTATATACTAATCTATTTGAAGTATGGATCATGGATGGTTAGCGTTTGATTATAAATGGATGTACAACTAGGAAATTTTTTAACTATTCAAGATCCAAAAGATCTAAGCAAAATTCCAATTCTATGGGCGAATTTCACACTAATAACTTCTATCCCGAGTATTCTGACTAATATTCTTTTTAAAATGCTTTTAGATAAAAATGAATTCCTCTGATACATAAAAAAGCCCTAAATGTTGGTTAGATATTAAATACAAAGATTTCTAAACGTGTTGCATATAAGATTGAGTTTTGTACGATAAAAATGCTTCTTAACCACTGTTAACTAACTAACCATTTCAGAATAATTGAATGTCCTTGCGTACCTGAAATTATCCTTATTGCACAGGAATGTTCGTCCAATCAAAACATTATGTGAAAACCAGTAGCATAGTCAAACAGAGTCACAAAAAGACATATATTTGATCTGGAACATTAAAATAAAAATGTTTCATGCACGCCAATCTCATTAGAATTTATTTTCGAATTTCATTTAATTATTTAACACAAGAATTAAAAAAAAGGACGATAATAAACACCAAAAATATGCTTGACTAGTAAATGTAGTTTCACAGAAAAAATAATAGGAATAGGAAGATGTCTGTTCAATATGTACATGTGTCAAGTAAAATACTAGAAAAAGACACACAATATTATACCGATAAAAATAGAAAAATCGAACTTGTAATAAGCAATTTACATAAACACATATCTCGCACTACGCTCACAACTCATTCTCTTCATCTTCCTCTTGAGATGGTACTTTTGGCCATTGATATTTTGCATCCGTGGCTAATTCTCCACCGTGTGCTGGTGCTGTTGTTGTCGCATATTTATGTTTTAATTGTTCACGAATAATAGCTGCTTTAATTAATTTTTTCCAATTACTATAAATTCGTTCATCTCTTTTCTTTATTTCTTTTTCAATTTGTTTTTGTTCATATTCTTCTAGAGCTTCATGTACTCTATGTTCAAATTCACGACAGATCACTACACCTTCTTTTCTTGGTATTGACATGCCATGATGTGCATCAAAACCTGTTATTGCTTCACCATAATCAATTCCTAACTTTCCACAAATACGTTTTATATTGGGTAAATCAATATGTACACAACCGGTCGGTATCATTTCAGGTTTAAACAAATCAACATTACCATATTCATTTTTTGGAACAATACCATCTGAAAGTAAATAAGAGATTGACTAGTAACAGAGAACTCAAATTCAACGTTTTCTTGATATTTAAGGCTTACACTCGAGTAATTACTCCCATCGATAAATAGAAAAAACTGTCTCTCAATTTTTCACCGTACAAAATAAGTAAACAAGCCACTAATGAAGAAAATCAATCAGATCTTTTGTCATGAAATTAGCGTCACTTACCATGTGCTACTGGGGGAATAAATGTTGTTGTTTGCCACAAACCAAATAATTGTAACTCTGGACGTTCCGTTCTACCGGCTTTTTTGGCACTCTAAAAATTCATAAATTTCATAACGTAGGAAAAACATGATAATTATTGTTCTTACATTTGTAATACGTCCTAGAACAATTTTATATGGTTCTTCATTATCCATTACCATTCTTGCTTCTTTTAACCACGTTTGTTTTGAACATAATGTCACAACTTTATCTCGTGGATAAATCGGTTCTCTATCTTTACCCAGATAACCGACTGGTGGTGTTTCATTTGGATAAACAGATTCAAATTTTAATAAATGACTTTGTAAAATATACAATGGATGACCTTTGAGACTAGCCTTTGATGCTGGGATTGGTTTACGGAGCAACTGATCTGGAAAAACAAAACAGAGAAAAATAATTAATTACTGAATATTTTTTAAGAAAAATTTAACTATCGAGTACAGCGGTATAAATGCAAGAAAAATGAGACCAAAAACCCATCATTTATACATACTCTCAATACTTTGATCTTCCATCTTTGCCATTTTTCCTTTTTTTTTATCTTTTGGTGCAAATCGTTTGCCTAGTTTTGCCCACCATTTTGGATCAATAGACTTATGTTGAATATGTTGTTTTCGATACTTATCTATCCAGGAATCTGAATATCGTTGTGTTACTTCTTTGAAATAAAAATGATTCATATCAAATGAAAATGCATAAATAATAGGAAAATCAACTTCTTTTTCTAGTTGTTCACTTAAATTAATTTGATTTGTATTCAAATCAACTGTTACATAACCATATTCAATATTTGTTTCTAAACAAGAAAAAAAGATGTTACATATCTCAAATTAAACAACATGACACACATTAGCTTACCTAAATAGACTTCACACCAATAATACAACGATCGTTTATTTTCTCTTGATGCTGCTTTTGTTGCTTTCGAAGAACGATCGGGTGATATGGCCTGATTATTTTTTTCTATGGTTAAAGTCGATCGAACACGTTTTAAATCATGTGAATGATCAGCTGAATGTAAACGACTTGTATCAGTAGTACATGATGTTGATAACTTTTTCTTCATGGTTAATTTGGATTTACTATTTATTGGCTTTCGTTTAATGAAATCATTAGCTTCTTCATCTTCACTTTCTGTCAGTCTTTCACTTGGAACATCTGTAGATACAAGTGAAACAACACTTTGAATATCTGAATCTTGATCACGTTCTTCAGCGTATGTTGTTTTTTTGATACATGAACGACGTCCACCGCGCTAGAAACCAAAGGAAACAGCAATTCAATAATCTTTAAGAAACGACAGAGAATGAGTATCAAAGAACAGAAGCAAGTTGTAGTTTCTTACTTAATATGTTGCTTTCTGAAAAACTTACACTGTTTGACTTCTACTTTAGCTGCTGACTACTATTCACAGAATAATAGCAAGAACAAGTTGATAAAGGATTTTATTTGTCTATCTTAGAAAAATGAACTTTATCGTCCGAAATAATATCTGCCTGCACTCTATTTAGTTCAACGAGAAACTTTTACAGATGACAACTGGTGAACATATTCTGCTGTAAAATTCACAACACAATTGTTACACTTAATTCTCCGCGATACTAAATTAGATCAAATCACTTATTCTTACTGTGGTTTTGTTACTACTAACACTATTTGTTAATTTGGTTGATAATGAGCGTTCTTTTTTGGGTGTTACATCTTCAATATCAACATCAAAATTTTGTTGTTGTTGTTTTTTGATATTCTTTACTAGACTTCCATGTGGAATATTTAACTTTTGTTGTTTATCTGGTTTCAATCGATAAACATCAGCTGTAAATGCCAGACGAACATCATAATTCAGTAATCGTGCGTAAATAATAAACAAAAATGTACGAATTGACGAGGACGGGGTAGATTTTTCTTTTAAAGATGATATTATTTGTGTAAATAAAGATTTACGATGTAATGTTATATTCTAAATAAACCGAAAATTAACGTCTCATACTTTATTCTACTTCACTTTCTTGCTTACTTCATCTCGTATTTCTTGGTCAACAGTAAATAGTTCATTGAAATACTTTAATAGACGATGTAAATCATTTGGATTTGTTTTTTTTGGTGAGTACGATAATTTTCGAACATGTTCATCATCTAACATTGAATAAAACAATGCTTTTAATATTTGTAAATTTAATAATTTTTTTATATAAAAACCATGTGCCAATAGAAATACAAGATGTAACTTATGAAAACGAAGAATTCTTGCTTTTGCTACACGATTTAAATGACGTTGTAAATATTGTTCCATTGTCATTTCTTTCTTCTTTTTTCCATTGGATATTTCATCTTCATTTAACTCAATTTCTATACCATTTTTATGTTTATCTGACAATAAATGACTACCATCATTAGGATTCAAACCATTGGCCAATAATAATTCAGCTGGAACTGGATGACTTTTAACATCTTCCCAACCACCATCAGAATCAGAATCAGAATCAGAAAAAGTTGCTTGACCTAAAGATGAAAAGCAAACAGAAAAGATTGAAGAGAAAATCAAAGAATGAATCCACTTAAGAACACAACAACGCAGATTAGTGATACAAGTTTATTCCTGAAAAACATGTGCACTAATACTGCTGTTCTTAATTACATCATACTATAGTGATCATTTTTCTCTTCAACATACCTTTCGTTGAATTGCTTTCATTCGAAATAGCCGTTCGATTTTCTGTATCCATACTTGAATCATTGTCATCTATCACTTCTACTGTTGTTACGGTAGCTGGTTTTTTTGTTGGACCTTTTTTAACCACTTTTGACTTCTGATTTGCTTCAGTTGTTAGTGTTGCTTTTGACTTTGGTTCTTTTCTAAGAGTGTTTTTTTTTTTATTCTTCTTCTCTTCGATCTTCATTTCACTATCCGTTGATGATAAACGTTCAATTTTCAATGATGATTTTCTGATACTTTCAATTTTTATTGGCGATTTTGAGAAATAAGGTGATGTTTTCTTTTTTTCCTGAGGACTATCGTCGACTTTTTCCGATCGTTTTCGTTTTGGTAATTTTGATAATGATTTTTTTGGCTCTTGAATTTCACCATTATCGCCGCCATTTTGATCAGTAGTTGTTGGTGTTAGCACTGGTTTTTTCAAACGCGTTGATTGACGTACATCAGGCATGCTGAGACGTAATCAGTACGAATCCTATAAGAAAAGATAAACTGGAATCCCTCTTTCGTAGCGGATAACAACAGATATTAATGTTCTCTGATCAGAACGACGAAAAACAGACTGCCTGTCTAAACCGAAACTTCACAGCTTTTACAACACGATCTATTTTCACTTAGTAAAGAGGTAGGATCACAGAATAAAAAACTTTTCCTGTGACCGATGCAAGAAGTAGCAACATAAGCTTTTTCTTTTAAACTGTCGGTGTCTGCCTGTTTTGTCCTAAAGAAACAAGCTTATCAATAAGACAACATATTCATAGAGAAGCATTCTGTTGCAATGCAGAAAAAAATGTTTGAACACAGAAATACACCTAACTTTGTTCTCCTTCTGCGTTTTTTTGATAGGTGTGAGATTGCGCAATACAGGTGGTATTCACAAGTGACTAGTCCTATACAAGAAGATGTATTATAATATAAGGAAAATTCTCAATAAAAAGACGACAGAAATAATTCTAACGGACTCGAACAACGGCACCAACGAATGTGAAAGTAAATTAAAACAAATTTCATTGGTTGGCACGTCGTCATGATAAACGTTTTTTAGCCAAGCCGAAAATGCATGTAGACAAGTAATAGCTGGCCGTATGAATGCGTGTAGTGTGTAGACAGGACACAAAAAAACAATGCCTGTATGTAGCGACCTCATCAGGATGTGAATATGGCTCATTCATAACTATACACTATCTCAACGTTTCTGATGATTAGTGACTCGTAGAAGCAAAGTGGACATTCACTTTAAAAATCGGGAATTCACATTGTTTTTCGGATTGAGACGACGAAAATCGAGTTTTTTTTTCTCTTCTTACATAGTGAACAATCCCGGAAAAATCCTTTTCCTGCTGAAAAAACTTTTCATAGCTCTTTTTTGTTTATTGCCTACTTTTAGGTTAGCATTTTAGTATTCCATCTGCTTGGTTAAATGAAAGCTGAGACTAAATAATTAACGGCACTAATCGATTCCAATCAAGAACATATCGGAAAACATACAAACCTACTCATTCTGGTAACGATTGGAACCGGTGTTGATTCTCATAAAAAAATGGAAGCACCGTCCCAGTCTAGGCTATTATAAGTCGACCTTTTCGTAATGAACCACTCATGTGACGAAAAAATTTGAAAATTTGTTATCAAACAAGTAGTTCTCATATTCTATCATTTGTCTCAGCAAAACAAAAAGGTGAATGTGTCTTGTGTACTTTCATCAGGAGTCGCGGAGGATTTCTGAAAGTTTTTCTGTAAATGTGACTTTTGAGGAATTTTGTAGGGAGTCTCAACGAAGGCCCTCAGGAATCCTGCCAAAACAGAAGGTCCGCAGGATTCCATTACGGAGTCGTAATGGAATTACAGAATCGTATTGTATTCACGTCAGAGAATGTGAATAAATTCATATTGACTTGTTAAGCACCGTGGATTGTTCCATTCTAGAAAAAGATCTTATTAGAAATGCCCACTAATATTTATATAACTAACATTAGTTTATCTATCTAGAGCTTTTCAATTGCTGTTGATGATGATGATGATAATGATAATGATAATGATGATGATGATGATTGTTTGTTGCATTGTGTCGAGACATTAGATCTAACTTCTTTGTTTGTTGATAAGAAAATACACATAAATCTGTTGCACGAAATAATATAGTTGAGAAGTTTATGTTAATAATAAAATAATGCGAACAATATAGAGTTAAGGCTGTCGTCGCCTGATACATAGAGCAATCGTTATCGAGGTACGCTTTATATAACATTATATTGATTTTGCGCACTTGAAGTTGTTTATATGCACATAATTCGAAGATCATTTCGACTTAGTATATCGTTAAGTAGAAGCAAACACGGACAATGACATGGTGATCCTCTTCGTATAGATATAATTATGAATATTTGTTTGTCTTCGACATCTTGTTTACTGTTATTCTCTATTAATAATCCAAATTCATTGGACGTATATGATCATTAGAACAATTAGTAGTACCATTAGGACGACACTGTTGTATGCCATTTTATTTTTCTGGCTTGATAATTCAACTCCAGAATTACTTATTTTAATATGTATTTGTAGAACTTTAAAAGCTGTATTAAATCACATATAACGAATTTTGAACGTTACCAAAACTAAGAAGTTACATAGCATATAATATCAACAAGCTTCACTGTAAAAAAGCAAAATAAAGAAATATACACTTTCACACCCTATCATCTTTGAAAAACGTTTTCTGTGACTATAAACAAGCAGAAGTATACCAAAACTAATGAGAAGATGATCAGTTACTATATCCATCAGCGGACAATCAAAATGAAGGCATTTTCGATAGCAGTTGTACGTTTAGAACAAAAAAACCCTGAGAATTTTGCTTTTAATAAACACAGAATTACTTGATTTAGTATAGTGCAAAAAAATAGCATAAGTATCTGACTTATGGAACATAAACATCCAAAAAAAATGACCTGAGTTACAACAAAAAGGAACTATTTCGTTGAGAAAGAAAAAAACAAAATTTATCCAAAAATGAAAATGAAGAACAAAATATTTAAGGCAAAAAATTGTTATTAATACACCTGATCATAGATTGGTCTCTACTTATCTGAAAATAGAGCGAAAAAATAGGAAGGACAGCACAATTGCTCACGAGAAAAGGTTGTCGATAGCATTATTGCAACTACCATTTTACCACTCTCATCTCTTTTTCTATAAGTCTTGCCTTGCTCACTTTAAGTATTATAAATCTGTTAAGAAATATGTAGCATCAATAATACATTCTTGTCGCATCTAGTCAAAATTCCTAGTACTTCAGTCTAGACTGCACCTCATGCTCTGTCTCACCAATTATGGATTCAGTTCCATTAGGTGAAAAGGGAAGAATTACTGTTACGCATCCATTTTATCAGTAGAAAAAAATATAGGGAAGAAAAACGTAATCAAGACATATCATTTTTTAATATGTACAAATTGGCTAGTTTGTGAAATTTTGGTCCCCACCCGTCCAGATAATCAAATTCCATATCATGTTCACTATCTAGATTATCTTTTAATGTTAGACTCAGCGTAGATAATGAAAAACATTTATCTTCTTCTGTGCCTTCGAAAGCATACTCTTGTAGTGAATCATAGGGTGGCTGTGATGGATCATCGTCAATGTCTTTAATGCGATTTTTAATAAAATCGCCCACGTTTATAGTCCTTTGAATGCCATCACCACCATTTATTGTATCTTTTTGTGATAATGGTTTTATTACTGGCGGTATGTCTTTACGAGTGATTTTCCTCGACACAGAAAGTGGATCGATAGCACCACTATCCGTAACAGTTTTTGACAATAATGGTTTCACTTCTGATTCAGAATTCATTCTTCCACTACGTGTTTCCGAATCATTTCGACTGGATCCACCGAGACGACCATTTGCTGTATTATTCTCATAAATGGGCTTTTTTAGCGTTGATATATCGTACGTCACTGGATCTTCATCCGGGCAACCTTCTTCATCGTAATTAATTATATTATCGCGAATTTCATCGTCCATACCTAAACGACAACGGCAAATTCATTTTTAATCTTGACATGTTCAAAATTATACACACCTAGTATATAAGCTTTCTTCGCTAGCCGTCGTTTTGTATACGCAATCAGTCCAAAAATCAAGACTAGTATAATAAATAAACAAATCATTGACACGATTAAAATGTACCAATTAAATGTTCCGCTAATGGGTAATGCGTGTTGTGTACATCGTTCACCTTGATAACTGTCAAGACATTCACATTTTATTTGATCTATATTCGCCTCATAATAGCATCTCTGTGTACCAGGGATATGACATGGATTTGTTGCATCCTGACACCAGTCATATTTCACACATGTATCATTCGATTGAAAATATTTCAGATTTGGTGGACATGAGCAAATACCATGACGCCACGTATTCACACAAAATGCCGGTTGTAAACATTGAACACCACGACACCAATTATCTAAATTATCGCATCCTTCTTTGATATTTGATTGAAATGTCCATTTCATATCCGATGAACTCGAACCATTGAGTAAATCTAATAGTTGACCATTATATCGAACATCTTGGATACAACCATCATTAAAATCAGCCGTAACGATTTTGTGAACAGCCTAAAAGTAAATTTGTTGATTTTTAAGTCACTAATAAAACATCTCACTTACCGAATCAATTCTTGCTCCCACATTTAACAATGTATTTGGAAAATTTTTCCAAACTGATTTTCCATAACTAATATTTGATCGATAATATTCTCCATCATCTAATTTTAAAAATAATCGTTCTCCATATCGATCTAAATAAGCTGTATGCCATCTACCATCATTTACTTCGACATATCTCAATTCAATCAATTGTGCATCCGATTTTGATCCAAAACGTGCTTGTAAATGTCCTGATTTCAATTCCAAAAACATAAACGTATCGTCGTTATGTAGATCAATGAGTGTTAAAATTCTATCGGATGAATCACGTGTACGAAACATAATTTGAAATTTCATGGCGTGAATATAATCATCAGGTTTATGTGTATGACGAAATGTGGCATATGATGCACGATCTCCGGTCCATGTTAGTTTATCATAAGTAAAATCGTATGATTGAGCATCTTGTGCACATGTAACACCAGATTTACCCGGTTTACAAATACATTGTGCATGATAGAGATCTGCTTCACATGTACCATGTACACACATGAATCGGGAACATTTTTGATTGGTTAACATACAACCTTCATGTAAATTGGATGATTGTCCACTGTGAGAATCAATGTGTAAATCGTACAATTCATCAGCAAAACGTAAATTACGAATACAACCTAAATCAAAAAATCAATTATAAATACTATAATGCATTTTTTTCCGTCTTACCTTTAAAATTTCCTGCATAATCAATGGGTAATTGCTCTGGATTGGCTACACCACCCAATTGCAACGGTTCATTTGTACTAAATATATCATCTTCAACATATTCAATCATAAATCGACATTCACTGGTTTTTATTTGTTGTGGACAATAATCGATAATTATTTCTAAAATATGTTCAATCGTACTTAATTGTCTTATCTCAATGGTGTGCCATTTTCCATCAGCTAAATATGAACTTGATTTTAAATAGCGCCTGATAGCTTTTGTACCAAAATTTAATTCAATTGATGGATGACCATTCACCAATTGTAGTGAAAAATAATCTTGATTTAATTGATTATTCAACGGACCATTATAAAGGAGAGTGCCGTTGGGCGATTGAGTTAAAAATTCCAATTGTAATAGCCATTGGGAACATGTTGATAACGGTTTATACCAACCATAACCTCCATTGCCTAAATAGATAAAATTATTATTAGAAGAAGGGACATAGGTGTTGAAATGTTATGCTAACCATCGAATGATACGGTTGTTAATTGACATCGTTCTCCATTGTACAATGTTCCATGTGGACATGAACATTTCATTGTATTGTGATCTCGTTGTGGATATCCTCCATTAAGGCAATACTGATTTGATTTTTGTTCTTGTAATTCTCTACTTAATTGATACTGGATATCTGTTTCACATTGACATTGAGCTTTTGAACGAATATGAAGTCCAATAAAGGCTGTTTCATTTGCATTTATTACATAATAAGGCTGTTTTGTAACAATTTCAGAACGTGAGATACAACCTTTTTCAAAACATTTAGCATCTGATGATAAACATTCATTTATGCCTACATGGAAAACAACAAAAGAATTTATTTGATCGATATCATATAATTGTAAGATAGTGAATAACTTACCTATTTGTGATATATTGAATAGATCTTCTAATTTAGTACGTTTCATATTGACTAGTCCATTAATTTTTATTTTCGACAAATACCCACTTCCATGCACCGCATAATAAACGTCAATTGTTCGTGGTAAATATTCATGATCTTGAATTGAAAATATTTCAATGTTATGAACATTGACTATATCACCGATGAGACGTGCAAATTCTTTGTAATACGATTGACCGGCGGGCATGTGACGTGTTTCAATGAATTCTTCAGCTGTTATGTCTTGTAAACGAATTGATGCTGCATTTTCTACAGCTTCTGGTGATAAATCATTTAGATGAAATTTAACCGTTGATGTTTGAGCATCACGTTGTAACCATTGATCGTACGTGTCGGTAACAGACACGATAAGTGTATACGTGACTAAAATGAGGATATCATTATCACTTGCTTTAACACCACAGTAGTTTACTTACTATGTTCCAATTGTGACGTACTATTAGACGTTGGTGTTTTCAAATAAATTGCTCCTGGTGTTTTTCCTCCTTTATCTACTCGAAAGAATTCTGTGGACGGTGTTAAAAGCTCAAACTGTTTTGTATGTATATCCCAATCATCTTCATCTTTTGAGTACACCATTCCAATGTATATTCCATGTAATCCGGCTGAATTTAATGCTTTTATCAATTGTTGCTTATAATCATAGGCATCAATTTGTTTTTGCCCATTATAATGTGGATTATCATTAACATCTTCAACAGTAACTCGTAAATAATTGATACCCGATTGTGAATGTGGTTTTGAATTGTCATTCATACGTATTGGTAAATCATAATATTTTCCACAATAAGGTTTACCTTTCTTCGTCATTGTTGTAGACGATGAACATAATTCTTCACGATCCAATACTTTTAACGTACTCAATACTCCAACTGGACCATAGTAATCTGATGTCACATCAAGACGAAACTTGGGTTCACCATCTTCAGGCCAAACATTTTTTGAACCTAGAAATACAAGAGATTTGTATAAAAGTTTTTTCACAGTATCTTTTATCACTAGATGCTGAAATTTTTCTCTTGGATTTATATTTCTTATAAACAGTAATGCATAATTATTTACCTAATTTAAATTCAAAATTTGTTGTTGATGATTTTTCATCAGGATCGGTGGCTTTAAATTCTAATATTTTCTTTGGTTGCTCATATTCCCTTATTCGTGCCTGATAATTTTCGGCAAATTGTGGAAAATTATCGTTAACATCTAATATATTCAATACTAGCATTGCTCGTCCAATTAAAACATTTGTACTTTGATTATTTACAGCTTCTAATGGTAAACTAATTGTCGATGATTTTTCACGATCAAAATTTTTTTTTAAATATATTTTTCCATTCATTGTATCGATACGTAAATGTTGACGATTTTCATATTGTTGACGATCGGGTGGTATACGAAAAATGAATTCTTTATTTACCGGCATTACATCGTTATCTGTAGCGCTCACTTGTAAAATTTTGGAACCAAATGGTGTTGATTCACTAATATTGACAAAATAGACACTCTGGGAAAAGACTGGTGTATTATCATTAAAATCGGTGATAAAAACAGTAACATTGGCATAATCAGACATACCGCCATTGGTCGCTTTAACTTTAAGTAAAAATTTTATCTGATTATCAGGTGGATCATAATTAACTGGTTCTAGCAGAATTATTGTTCCTTTTTCAGCCAATGATGTTTCTTTGAATATAAAATGTTTTGGTTTTGAACATCGCATTATTGTTGTGTGTCGTTGCTGTTTTTCGTCGAATAACTGACATTCTTCAACAATTTCGTAAATGGAATGTGTATTTACTCCAATATCATCATCTTCCGCTTTAATTTCACTAACAAAATCGCCACGTTGTGCTATTTCAGATATTTGTGCTTGTATTTGTGTCGGTTTAAATCGTGGTGGTTGATCGTTGACATCGTCAATAATTATTGTGATTTTTAATTCTTTTGATTGTAAATTACCAGCTGGATCACCAATATCTCGAGCAATAATTGATAAATTATGATGTGGTGTTTTTTCACGATCCAAATAGTTATCAACATTCAGATAAATATCCGATGTTAACTCGTCAATACGAAATACATCTTGACCATCGATCGATTTTGTGTTTAATGTTAGAGCGTAACGAGTGGTATTTTCAGATAATTTATCGTAATCCGTTGCACGAATACGTAAACCTATACAATAGAAACAGAAAATCATTACTTTTAACAAGAATAAAAATTACATAAATTTTCCTTCTTAATATAAAAAAATCTGGTTATGTATAGTGAATAAATATGAAACACGGATGATTATCATTGAAAATAATAAAATTTTTTAAGTTTATGCTTTTCACTCATCAGAAATACAAAAGCAATACCTTTTCAAAATCTTTCTATTCTACATCAAACATCGTCAGTTAATTATTTATATGATACACTGTTATTACTTTTATTCTAGTATGTTGGTGTTTTTAAAACACTAAGCAATCAAGTCATTTTTTCACTATAGCATCGCCGAGTAATCTGAACTCTTTTCTTCTTTTTAGACTTTCCTGTCCGTACCTAAACGCTAAATTACGTAAATTACTTCATTCTATTGAATTTATCTGTAAGAAGTATTAGACACAGCCACATAGATACTTTGAAGTAAGAAATATAACTTCTAAATCTCGTTATTCGGTGAATGTGTGTGTTTATTATGTGCTGAGAAGTTGAGAAGATAGAAAAAGGAAGAAGGGCTGATAAGGTAAGAAATTTTCCTTAAATAGAATGTCTTGATTGTTTTTGAGATGAAAAGCACGCAGTAGATTAAATTATGTTTTTTTGTCAGCTAGAAGTCGACTGGGCTATGCGAAGAGCGGAAGTGCCCTAAGTAAAACTTAGGTTGATGATAGTTTTTGGTGCCACTGACAGGAAGGATGAAGAGATGTTCTGAAACATGCTAAACGTTGTTCTGTGCTCCGTTATGCCGAAAAGTAAGACTCGGTTTAGACACTAGACCACGTTCAGTAGTTTGACTGTGACACAATCCTAAAGATTTGCTATTACTTTTTTTAACACAAAAATAAATTCAATGCTTAAACAAGCTGCATGCGATCACAACAGAATAACCCTGTTTCTTTTTGGAGTACCGCTGCACGGAAAGAAACTGATGACCGATGAGCTGACTACTGTAACATATCAATTCCGGAGAGAAAGAATGAAAGAAATAAACAAAGTATTTCTTCAAATGAAAAGCAATCAGTCACCTAAGTTTCACTTAGACGACTAATAATGACCATTATTGTTTCGAGCCATGCAAATTTTTTATAATAGATTAACATCAACAAGATAGATAGCTGTTGAGATATTACATAACGATTAATCTTATCTATGTCATGGTTCTATTCTTCTCCTCTAGAATGTACGATTAGTCAATAATTTCTCCAGTTCTGATCTCCAGTCCTTCGTGGTACACCTCAAATTTACTCCATTTTGCTCTTTATCATTACAAATGCGATGTATTAATAGAATTTCACGATTTAACTGATCACAAATGTTAGTTGTTGGAAGTATCACAGGTGTATTTGTGATAAAATGAATTGTTGAAACTTCCACTAATGTGGATTGACAATGACAAAGACGTTCATAATAAGTTACGATGACGAGATGAATTATGGAATACCAAAAAGTGTTGTTTTAACGTCAGTCAATGATTAAAAGTGAAAAGAACTAACTTCTACAACTAATAGGCTATGGAATATGTTGTAAGACCTTCCTAATTGAAAAATACACTCTAAGTAATATTGTCAACATTCCAAATAGTGACCATACAACTTTTCTAACAAGTTGTTTCATTTAGCATTTAATAATGTGGCATCGCAGAAATTGAAATTCTAATAAGAACTAGTACACTACCCGCGCGCTGCGACGGCTATTGCTTCTCTGTTATAGTAAATATTCTTTCTTGTCCTGTGACCCTTCCTATTGACCTAACGAAGATCTGACAAAGAAATGATTCAATGGCGGATCAGTCTGATTAAGAATCCGTTTACAGAACTTCGCCAGGTGCTCCAGAAGCTGAGATCATGAGGCTCATGGTTCAAGCGTCACACAAATCTCAAACTTTTTAATAATAAGGATTAATACGTTAACATCGTTCAATAACTAACCTAGATTTAACAGATTCTTAAGTTTATTTTGCTTCGGACAATTTTATATTTTATAGAAATTATTTATCCTAACCTTCAACACGTGTATCTTTTCTTGCATTCTCAGCAATGTGTCCAATTGGATCAACGTCTATAAAAATTGGTGGATTATCGTTGATACTAAAATATATTCAAATGCTAACTCATATTGTAGCCTAAGTGGTAACTATTTTCACTTACTCTTTCACTAAGATTTTTAACCATGATGCATTTTTCTTCGACCCTTCAAAACCGCCTTCATCCGCCGCTATAATCGTTAACAACCATTCATCAAATCCATTAGGTGGATCACGATCTAAATCTTTTTTTAAATGTATTGTACCATTTGTTGGATGAATTTCAAAATAATCTGTATACTGTTGATTTGAGGATGTCAACATAAATTTAATACCACCAACATTTGCTGGACGACCTTTATCAGGATCGTCCGCTTTTACTGTATAAATAACCCGAGAGATGTACTCCAACGGTTGGTTGTAACTACTAGACGGCGACGATGGTGTTGTTCGATAACGATTGACATCACTAAAAAAAGTGGCAAAAAAGGTAGATATTATCACTAAAATGTCACTAGCACTCTCAAATACTCACGTCAGTGTGTTGTCTGATGTCTTTTGCAGTTTTCTAAGTAGATGTTTTCCTTCATTTTGTTTGCCATATTTTCTTGAACTTGTAGCCCGTCTTCTTCTACGACGTTTTAATTGTCGATACAATTGACTTTCATAATTTTCATCTGAATACAAGTTTCCATTTTGTTGTTTCATTAATTGGTCATAATCAATAACTTGCTTTCCTTCTTCAATTTCGATCGTTGCTGGTAGATTGAGGAAACGAGGTGGATTATCGTTAGCACTACCAAAACATTTAAATAGAATGTAAATTTGGGATTTACTATAAGTGAATAACTTACTCTTCGACAATAACAGTTAACTCAGCTTGACTTGTATGTTCATTATTACTATCGCTAACCTGAATAATGACACGATGTTGTTGTACACGTTCGTAATCCAAAGCACTAGCCAAATAGACTTCGCCCGTATTTTCTTTAACTGCAAATGCTGATGCTTCTTGAACGTTGACAATATTGAATGTTAAAATATCATCCGTGTCTACATCGCTCACATTCAATTGAAAGATTGTTGTGCCAGGTTCAGCATCTTCCGAAACATGGGTTAAATATGGTTTGCCTAAAAATGACAAATTTTTAAACAATTTTGATGATTAAAAGTAGATGCCACTCACCTTGAAAAACTGGAGCGTTATCATTTCGACTAAAACATTCAAATGAATTTACGTAATGATTGAATGAAAAATGCTGTAACTTAACTACTTTCACTTGTTTAATAACTAAATTACTTACTCAAGCACTTCAATAATCACAGGTACACGATGTTCGGTAACACATATTTGTATTGTCGGATTAGAATCCGCTCCGCCTCCTTGCTGATGTTGTTGTAATTCTTTATTATTCGAATTACATCGATCGGATGGTAAAATGTTCTTAGCAAATACATCAAATACATAACGTCTGTCATTTGGATTATCGAAATCAAATTGACGTTGAACACTAATCCAACCAGTTTCAGGATCAATAGATACAATACCATGACATGAAAGAGAATTTGACAGAGGATTATTTGAGTAATACGAGACTTGGTTTGATTGACTACTACCAGCATTATTTTGACATCTATAAGATCAAAAGAGGGTTTGAAATAGTGCTGCTTGATTAGATGAAAAGTTAATAATCTTACCTGATAAAGTACGTTGTATTTCTGTTTTTTGGATCAATATCTTTATCATCTGCTTGAACTCTCAAAATATTTTCTTTTATCTCATTTTCATAGATTTGTCCTCTATATGAACTCACATTAAATATTGGTATATTATCGTTAGAGTCGATTATTTCAATTTTATATTGACTTTCAACAGATAATGCTTCCATAGCACTATTTTTTGCCTTAATCTTAAATGTAAAATGTGTACATCCTGTTGGCGGATCAGCATCGATCGGTTGATAAATAACAAGACGTGCAATATTTCGACCATTTTCATCTGGTGCCAACAGAAATGGGATACGTGGTGCTTCATTTGTTATTGGACTATTATGACATTTCCAGTCGACAGGCTCCATTTCGAATATCACTTTTTTTGTCGTATCATTGCTAATCGATGCTTTGAATGTATCAATAACAATACTAGATATAAATGCAAAACAACAGTATTATTGTTAGAACTGATTAAATCTCAATACATACTTTTGCTGAGCTAATTCAACAACTTTCATTACTCGTTGAAATGTGAGTGCTGTTTCTGGTGCCCAAACAGGTGGTTCAAAACCATCTTGCGATAATTGAAAGTTTACTTTTCGTTCCACACATTTTGGTTCATCACCTTGATCACATACTTGAATGACAAGACAATATTTGTTTTGTGTTTGAAATATATCACCCAATTTCGTTGGACGAATCGATATGATACCGGACGATGAATCAATGGTAAAATGTGTTTCACTTGTAGCACATTCTGGTTTTGATTTAATTGAAAATGATAAGTGTGCATTTTTACCACTATCATCATCTTTTGCTCGTATTATTAAAACAGCATAATTTAAATAATTAACACGTTTTTCAACTTTAATCGATATTAAATCATTGTCACGAGATGGTGATGTTATAACCGGATAACTAGAAATAAATATAATAATTATTAATATTGAAATAAGAATAAGATGGAAATAATACATACTGATCATTAATATCTTCAACATTAATTTTAATAATACAATGTGTCGATCTTGGATTTTGTGGATCTCTGTCTTGAGCAAAAACGGTCATTGTATATTCACTATGACCACTTTTTAAATGTTTTAAACGCTTTTTATTATAGATTAAACCCGTCTCAGAATCAATACCAAATAAATCAGATTCTGTTCCTAAATTTGATCCACTTCCATCATTTTCACTATTTGATCCACTACCTCCACCACCTTTTAACGAAAAAAGTATGTCACCATTGAGTCCACGATCTTCATCTGTCGCATTTATTTTCAATATTGGCGTATTGATCGTAGCATTTTCTCTCACTTTACTAGTAATGATGCCTTGTTGACAATTTTCAATAATAGGCGTATGATCATTAACATCGTAAACGGTTATTAATAGTTGAGCGTAACTAGTATGATTTAAACGATCATAAGCAAGAATTGTCAAATTATAAAATTCTTTTTTTAATTGACCATCAAGAATTACTCGTCCACCACCAGGACTCGTTATTATTCGAAATGGATTATCATATTGTGTTTGAAATTGAACAGTAACACTATCATTATATTCTGTATCATGTACATCGACAAATAAAATTGTTGTACCTAAAAATTTAGTGTAATCATCAGAAATTATTAAAATCTAAATATTATTTACCTTTTTGAGTATTTTCAGCAATTGTCTTCTGTATTGGATTATCTTTAAAAATAGGTGGTTCATCGTTTACGTCCGTAACAGTAATATAAATTTGTGCTTCACTCTGTAATGATTTGGGTTGACCATTATCTCTTGCAATTATTTTTAATTTATATTGACGATCAAGTGGTGATAATGATTCATAATCAAGACGTTGTTTTACTATTAGATAGGCTTGAATATTATTCGATGTTGATATTGGATCATAATAAATAGAAAATTTTCCGTATGGATCTAGAAGATCTAATGTAATATTCGAATTTTGTGAATTTTTTGCATCATCATCTGTAACGGTAAAATTAATGATTGGTGTACGTAGTGGATAATCTTCAGGGATTTGTGGTGTATAATATGTTTGTTTAAATGTAGGAACTTTGTCATTAATATCGATAATATTGATTTCAATGTCAACTCGAGCATCCATTTGCCAACCATTTAATTCTTTTACAATACCATGAAAATATTTCGTATTATTATTATGTTGATCACTGTAACGTAATAATTTTAAAATTTTAACTGTACCAATTGTTTCATCAATTTTAAACTCATAATTATTTGAATGCATACTAATCAATGGCTGTAAAAAGTAGCGTAAATTATCTTGTGTTGTCGAATATGATTTAGCTTTTATTGAACCGACAATTGTTGATGGCTGAGTATATTCTGATACGTTAAATACATATTTTTGTTGATAAAATTTCGGTTCGATACGATCAGTAGTAACGAGTAAGTACGTGCGAATAAATCGATTGTAGTTATATAACGGATTTGTATTTACATCGATCGCTTTCACTGTTATATTGTAAGTGCCTAAAGTAAACAATCTTGAAAAATGTAGTGCAAAGAGATGTTTCTTAGATGAAGTAGATAAATAACATCGATAATAAATACAAAAAACAAAAGAAGTTCTAGTACGCTTTATCTCTTTTAGTTATTTCGGCATCAACTTTTGATCGCAACATATAATTTAAAAAAAAACATGAACTCTAATGTGTTATGTTAAGATAATTTATGAATCCAATTTAACTTTATTCCACAACTAGCTATCCAGTCTCTTATATTACAATGCTTACGGCCATACAACGTTGAATACATCACTTTTCATTCGATCATTGAAGTTAAAGCAACGTCGGGCTTGGTTAGTACTAGAATGGGTGACCATCTTGGAATACCAAATATCGTAAACTTTTTTTTTAGCTGTCATTTATCTCATTTAGAATAATGGCATAAAACAATTTGATAAATAAGACTCTCATTACATACCTGATAATTGTTGATTACTATGCGTAGTCAATGTTCCATCTTGAGATATATGAAATAATTGTTGTTTTGCTGCTGATTTTGGTATAATTTCTTCAATTTCATATGTTAAACGTGATTGTGTATCAATATCTTGTGCTTTAAATCGAAATACAGGTGTTTCTGGTCGCGCTGTTTTTTCCACATATCCATAATATGTTCCAAATTGGTATGGTTCATCCATAATCCATTTTGGCGATTCATCATTGACATCATCAATTTGCATATGAATTTCTTCCGATTTATTAACACGTGTCAATTGTTGACGTTCAGTAATTAAACAATGAAATTGAAAATTAACTGATTGAAAATATTCGTGATTGAAATGTTTCAAAATAATCAATTGTCCATCTTCATCAACTGTTAGACGTTCATTTAAATACTGTTCATATTTTTGTGGAAATTTAAATGTTTTTTCGATTCTATCTTCATTCGTTTGTTTTCGACAATATTTTATTTGGTAGATAGTACCCGTAAAACTTTCATTAAAACGTAATTGTAAACGACTAGGAGCCGATTGAGATTGTTGCTGACGACGGTGACGATAAATCATTTTATCATTTGACTAGAAATAAGGATAAAAAGCAAAGGAAAATCACTAAATGATGTTGCTAGATGATATATTACTCTATTTCAAAACTTAAATCATAGAAAGTTACCTCTTTTATTGTTGATTCTACTAATGGTGTTTGTTTATGTTGTTTATTTTGTGGTAAATAGATATAAACATCAACAACTAGATTCTTATTCATTGATTCATCGATAATTAAAACGTACAGATGGTAGAAAAGAACATTGAAATCTAATAAATTACGATTGATTAATTGAATTTCACCTGTTTGTGAATTAATTGAGAATGGACCACTTCTATTTTCAAAGGTTTGATTGTACATGAATTGATATATTAATTGATTATTGTCATCTATATCAAATTCTTTTATTTGACCGAGAATTGAATTTGATTGTTGATCTTCTTTTAGCGTAAATCGAACAAATGGTTTTGGCTTCTGTAGAATGAGTAAATTATCGTTTCTATTTTGAATATGAACAATTATTTTTGCATATGATTCTACTTTTGTTTGACTATTTATTGCTCGTATGATTAATGTATGCTCTCTAATCTCACCGATATCATCATAATCAAATGTTTTCATATTTATTAATTTAATCAAATCATCGTTTTTGTCATTATGGGTAATATCAAATAATCGTGTTGAAGACGTATGATCAATCAAATCATAAAGAATCGGTGCACTATTGTTTCTATGATGTAAATATCTAATTGCTGAAAAATATTCAACGTTCAATTGAGAATATTGTGGTTCACGTTCATTTTGGTATAAATGATAAACAGGCGATTCAAAACCATAATAGGACGACAGAGATATTATCGTATAATAAACATTGACAATAGACTAAAAGAGCAAGGAGTTAAAGTGAAACTATTCTTTCAAGATTTACTCGATTTTATCAGATATTATGCACAATGCTCGCCTATTAAATACAATTTCTAAGTTCACCTAATTGAGATATCATATAGAGGCCTTTGCCGTATGTAGTATAAGTATTATGCTGAAAATTTAGAGTTGAAATTTCAATTAACAACAAAACTGTACAAGATCGTCTGAAATGAAATGATTTGACAATAAGAAGTACAACTCTAATAAACTACGACTTTGATAATGACACTTTATGTTTATTATGATGTTAGACTAAGACACCCGAGAATTTTGGAATATATTTTCAAGAATTGAACAATAATTGTTAGTGGCTTTATTTTGTTACCAAACGAAAGAAAAGTTTATAAGTATCAAAATTGTACAATTTTAACCATTATACAAGAGGTTTACTTTATTATTGTAGGTATAATGTATGAAACTGAACCTATTATTACATCATAAAACTATGTCTATGACTGTTTGTATGTAACAACATTTGTTTTCCATTAAATTTTTTTCTCTCTTTCATTTAGTTTGTTAACGATATTAAAAATGAACAGATTAACCCTGATGAACACTTTACACAATCATATTTCCCTTTCTCCACTTCAAAACTAGTTCATACATACAAGAGGGAGAGTTTGATTCTTTCCTTTTCTTTTGTGTGATATACATAAATATATATATATAGTCTGCATCATGCATAGTAGTAGTAGTATTAGTACACATATTTCTGGAAGCTAAATTATAGGTATAGTCAAATGAATAGTAACACATACACACAAACACACACACACATAGTCACATAAGTTCAACTTAGAGAAAATTGCATATACCCAGTTTTTGAATCCATTTCAATCACCAAACACTCAATTATATAGTGTCTTAGAACGAGTTCTATTACGTAAGTTATCTTGGAAACAATTTTAAGGGAATAAAAAAAGACTTAATGATAGACCTTCGTTTCGTGTTGAAATTATCTATTTTGAAAACGGATATATGCTCTCACTCGAAGAACAATTGAGTTGATGATAGAACATCTATTATATATAAAAAAAGAGATGACAAATAGAAACGCAATCAAATCTACACAGTAGTTTAATTGAAATAACTCATTGAATAAACGGTAGAATTATAATATTTTTTCTCCTCTCATCCTAACTCACAACATTTGGTTGTTCTGGAGACATTAATAAGTATATATATTTCAAGAGGAAAAAAAACTTAACTATTATCAAAATTTTTTTATTTCTAATGCTATATCATTTCATAATTTATGTGATAAAGAATAAAACTGAATTTTGAAAAATTGAAATAATCATATCTTTGAACTAAGTTATATATGTGTCACTTTTATTATTTCAACAGTATACACGAATAAATCTGAAAAAAAACTGATCTCCTATCACAAATAATATTGCAGTTCTTTTTTACCTGATTTCCATTTATTTGACAAAATAATTCATTGTTTAACGGTTTTTGTTTCAATGATTTTCCTAACATAAGATCACCATATTTATTAATAATAAGTAATTGATTTTTAACGGTTTGTTGACATAGTCGAAAATCATTTTCTGACCGATCACCGGCTTCAAATAATACGTAACCATATTTAGCTAATTCAGGTAATACTAAGAGGCGATCAGTCGTCTTTGTGACTAGTTTTGTTGTCGTTATTTTCACCGGCAATGTCAAATATGTTATTAGATATAATAAATAAAACATTTTTTAATCTATACCATTTTATCTATAGAAAAACAAATTAAAATTTAACAGTTTTATGTTTCTATAATTTTAAAAAATACCTTTAAATTTTAAAATATCCGTTTCAAACTTTCAATGTTAACTATTCGATATTAAAAAGAAGTTTCACAACTATTTCTGATGTTTTGAATCAAACTCACTTTAGTCTATTATATCATTAAAGTAAAGAAGGTTCATTGAATCATCAATATATTAAAGAGTGCTGTTGCCTACATTTTAACGGCAAACGTACACATAATTCTACACTCTGATTAGAAAACTTGACGTAAGCCACTTGAGACTCTTACTTATCAGAATAATCTAGTGTTTTACCTACATTATAAAGTCACTTGTTGTGCATTAGTTCAACAATAAGAAAAAAAAAAAAAATTTTTTTTTGAATAACAGACAACGCGTTTATTGTGCATGTATAGTTCAAAAACATATACATACAACGATATATACCGCATATATCCTCTACAGGAAAAAAAAAGAAATAAGTGTATTAGAAGAAGCAAAAGCGAGAGAAAAAAAAAATGAGAGCATTGTCTATGTATGTATATTAATCTATATACTATCGCATATGTTCAAAATTTTCTTTTCATTTCGTTTCTCTCTGCTATCCCATCGTAAACGAGATTTTGGATGGTAGTAGTGGTACTAAATTGAGCTATGTTAAAAAAAATAAATGATCGATTTTCTTTTTTATAGGTTAAGGAAAGAAAGAGAAAGAAAGAAAGAAAGAAAACACGTCGAAAAAATAGAAGGACAAATGTTCTTTTTGTTCTGAACGCGTTTGTACAGTATGATGTTCAAAACGAAGAAGAAAAAGATAAAATCCAATTTATATTAGACATTGCACATGTATATACGTGGAACTTATAGTGTGTCCGCAATATAAACTCTCTCGTGTCTTGATCTATAATTAAACATTGCACGTCAAACCATTATTTATAGATATTATCTATTGGACGCGACCACCTAACTCTGCTAACTAAATAAAATGCTGTAACAAAGTTTTAATGTTTTGTTCTTTTCGAATAGAAAAAAATAGCTAGAGCCATGTAGCAAGCTTTTCTGAGATATCTTTGGACTCTGTACGTTTTAGAAAATCCTACATACTCTTTTCAAACGAGCCGTATGATATTTTCTTTGTATTTTTTAAATAAAAGATCCTACAGATAGATCATTTGCAGACAAGCTTGCTCTATAATGCTGGATGTTACGCATTTTAAAGTTGAAAAACAATAAGAAATACAAAATGTCAAAATTTCGTTACGATATTTCACTTCAATAGTAGAGTTACGTGGTCGCACTGTATTCAAGAAAAAAACAAGTGAAAAAAAAGTAAATAGATGTACTCATTTTTAACATTATTGATAGCTCTTACATATGAGCATTTATTATTTTGTTTAAAGTGTTTATTACTCGCTCTTTTGCATACATAGACATATCAATCTACTATCGATATATTTTTTATTGAACTATTAAAATATGATCGAAAAATCGGGTGAGAAAGAAGGGAGAGAGAGTTAGTATATTAAAAAAATAGGGACCTTTAATAATAAGAAAAATTCTTACATAACCTGATGTCAAAAATATTACTTTCTACGTACGATATTCAAGTAGTTCGAATAAAATAAATATTATTCTGCTTGTAAATCAATATTTTGAGCTATACCAATCTTTTTATGATAATATTAACATTTTATCGATATTTTCAAAAATTATCAATAATAATCGTTCGTACAATAAATCACAGGTCATTTATCACCTCAAGCAGAAGAAAACTTATGTACAGGTAATTGCAGGTAACACAGCCGAGCTAACTTAAACTAGCTTGGAAGCTCATAACAAAGTGGTAACCCACCATAACAAAGGTATGGGTGGATGCAAATTTTACGTCGCTGAAATAGTTTGTACTTGTATTTGCGTTCATTCTGTTGATTTAGACTCAATTGAGATACAATCCAAGTTTTAATCAAGTATCCCAGTTGAGAAACCAATATTTCTGCAAAAAATATTGGGTTTTCAACTGAGGTACATTTTATATCTGACGGATTCTTCTGTTTAGACTGATATATAAAATAGTTACTCACAAACCACCACGCCATCCCCATCAGGATAATAATCTCTCAGATATAAAATGTATCTCAGTTGAGAATCAAATATTTTTGCAGAAATAGTGATTTCTCAACTGAGATATTTGATTAAAATGTGGATTGTATCTCAGGTGAGATGTTACGATTCTATTATCATTTAGTTGTCAACTAGCGGTTAGTACTTTGAAAAATTAATAAAATTCATTAATTGATTGTTTGACATGAAATCTTTAAGGTAAACCGACAGCTGTTATATACATTTATCAGAGCCCAAGGCTTCAAACTTAATGATACGACACATAGATTAAACAAAGATTGACTACAATGATAAATTTGACAAAAAAAAACAAATTTTATAAACTATCAAATTTTTTGTATCAATGAATCAAATTCAAAAGACAAGATGCAATTTGATTACAATCTCTTAGTCTCTTTGTTTCGAGAAGGTATGTAATGAAAATTTTAAAAATGTCTCAGGAACTCACATGTTTTATTCCAACAAAACTTTTCTACCGTTATGATGAGATCAAATAGGTGATCAAGGTATTAATTGACACAATTATTCTATTATATTGTATTTCTTAAAAAAGTGGTTTGTATAAAGAGAATACACTACTCAAAAATTAGAAAGAAAACCTATAAGTCCAAAGTTAAAGTTTGTCTTTAAAAATATTGTTTAAAATCACAGCTGAACAAAATTTTTTGTTCAAAATCTAATATATCTCAAAATCTGAATATTTAAAACAGGTATTAACAAAGTATTTAAATTTTGATTAGAAAATACACGAAAAAGTCTAGTATTCACCGAGTATCGTTGATTAGTATCTGTTACACTTGAAAACTGGTTAAACGGTAAAGAATATTTTAAATAACAAAATATGAGCAAATGCGACTTATCTTAACTTTAAGACAGACGTCAGAAACTTGTCCTACTTTTTATGATTGATTAGAATAATTTTTTTCTTTTTTTTATTGATTATTTGATACACAAATAGATTAGTTTATAAAAAAAACGTTCTTTTTTTTCTTTCTCGTTTTACAAACACACTTGATTCGTTTGACATTTTAGTTATTTTCTTCTTATTTTTTTTAGGCGTATTGAACGATTGGTGAAAGAAAAGAAGAATAGCAAAAAAAACATATAGTTAGACTATTATCTACAACGTGTAGTTATTCTAGATGAGACAAAGCTAGAATGAACTTGCATATGTAAAAAGAAAAGAAGAAAAAAAAGACGTTATTGTTCAATGAATTGTGGGTTTTTTCTTTTCTCCTTTTCTGGATACGAGTGCGGTCATAGTAGAAGAAGACAACCAGAACATGTTCTGTGAAACAAAAGACACATTTTTTTTACCGCAGCTACTTGAACACTATTTGTAATGGTACCATATGTGTGTCAATGATGATGACAGGATTGGATACGGTTGTTTTATTAATATATATTATTGTACCATTTTAGTCAGGCTGGAAATTCTGTTGGAAGTGAAGCAAATTTTTATCATTAAACAAAAAAGAGTAACCTAAAATCTTTGAAATAAATGAGAATTGAGCATTATGATCCGGTCGATCCAACATAATGAATCATTTTTCAAACTAGGAGAATGTAAAAAACAAAACAATATCTGTTTGATGTATGTTAATTTATAATTTGTAATATAGAATGTAAAGCAAACTAGAAAAACGTATATATATGTGTGTGTGTGTATGTGAGTTTGAAACGAATAGGAAGAGAAGTGTAAAAAAGACTATATAATATTACTTGTACGCTATTGAACAATTTAGATATGAGAAAAAAGTGTGCCCCAGTTTAGATAAACCTCCTCTTTACACACAATAGAGAAAAAGAAAATATGAATAAGGTCATTGTAGTTTAATATGTATCTGTTTTTATTTTCAAAATGATGACAGATTTGTTTCGTTCTTAGTTTTATCTCTCGACTATGCAGTGATGATGAATGAATATGCATCATTTAGCTCATCAACACACAAAGACGTTTGATAAAGATAAATTGAACCTTTTTTCATGATATTTGTTAAAAAAGCTAATATGGTCGAATTATATGAAACTATGTAAAGTATTAATTTGACATTTAATTTGCGTACTCTATCGGTAAAGTTAGTCTTGTTGATGAAATTCATTAATAAACAGTTATATGAAAACTGTTGATGCATAACTCAATTTACTACGTTAATAATTTCAAGGAAATTTTTTATAGAAATAAGAAATTAAGAGTTTCTTCAAGTTTTCGACAGAATTTTTAAGCAAAACTTTTTAATATTTCTTACGTCTTATTAGGTATAAAATTGAATGATTTATTCTATTTTTATTTTTAATTATTTAAGTACCATTTGAAACAGTGTGATAATGTTTTAAATCTGAATGACATCCATACGCTCAAGGTACGCTTTCTCAATAGAAGATATATTCTATTCCATTCTAGAGAGAATACGTACGAAATAAAATGAATATTGTGATTGTAAATGGTTCTTTCCATAAATCTTTCGTATTCGATTCCTACATCAGTCTATGCCAGTATATAATCAAATTTGTTTTTTCATGATTATTGTCATGAACTAAACTATTTTTTTATTGTAAACTGTATTTAATTGAACCGCAACTATATATATATACGTGTAGACAAATGAGCAGCTGTCACATTTAATAACATCAATAGACCATTATTCATAGATTAATAAATACATCATACAGATTTAAGTGAGTCTCTAAATTGACGATTATTATTATTATTATTATTATTTTGACCGTGTTCTGTAGATGATATGTCTGTAACAATAAACGAAAGTTTGCTTCGATATTGTCTACTTTCATTTTTTGAAATATATCAGCATCTCAATTATTATGTTTGTTCCTCAGGTATTTTATCATAAATATGGTAACCTTCGACTGCTAATGATCCATATAAAAGTATGAAACCATATATAGGCAAAAAGCGTATGATATCTTGTTTACTTGAAAAATATCATAATTAGATGCATGTGAAAAAAGTTCCCATTCTTTACTTCTGTCACAATGGGTTGAACACCGATTATGTTATACACAACATTATTTTCTCATTAGTACGATTTCTTCTATTTTCATAGGAGAAAAGAATTCAACAAAATATTTTCTTTTTTAACGGAAGTATACAACTCATACAAACGTACTTATCTGTTAAAAACTAGATTTTCTTATTCCTAACGACTCCCTAGAACTTTTACAAATACATTACTCAGCTTATTAACTATACAATTAGATTCAGTTTCTCCTTTCAAACTCAAAACTAAGCTGAGTTTTGAAAAATAACGTTCTATAAGTGTACTGCTTGACGCTTAATCTAAAAACATAATTAAACGATGAAACACTTGAAAGGTTATTTTAATGTGTCTGAATTCAACATTTACGTCTGAAAAAATTAGGAAAGACTATCACATTAACTGAGAGAAAAATAACTGAAGAAAGGAGTAGAGCATCAATCTCAATCTAGGGCTTCTTCCTGAAGCAAAACTTCGTCGACGAGAAAGTAGTCTATTGTATAGTGATCGTAAAGATCCAAAGTCGCTCCTCAGCGTCTTAGTACTCATGGTTTGGAAAATGAGATCGATAGACTTCGAACCACTCTGACAATGTACAACCGATTTCCCAAGAACAGCCTGAAGATCACACAAGAGGAGATAACCAAAATGATATAAACATCATCCTAAATTTTGGTTCTTTCATTGGCGCCTTTTTTCTTAATCAAGGAGAGAACCAAAATTTAGGCGAAAATCAAGTAGATTGTGTCGACGTCGGAGAAGAAGTCAAAATAGAATTACAAGGAACCTGCTGTCGGATTCACCGAGAAATTCTGCATATACCACCTTCTTTTCATCAAATTTGATGCAGTGCTGCAAAAGTACCTAATTCTCTAATGTACTGGTTACACCACTTTTTATTTAGATTACGTTGGGACTAGACGTTGGACATGATCTCAGATCCTCCTGGGTGCTTCCACACAGGTCCGCCCACTTTATACAGAGCATCTTGCCGCGAAAACTTCACTTTGCCCATCGTGTAGAGCATCAAAAATAATTGGTCTTGATCTAACTTTACATTCGAGTGACGCTCCATTTACTTGAAAAATTTCTGAAGTTTGACCTCGATTTTCTCCTAAACTCTCCGAAAATTTTTCGAGATTTTTTCAGAATAGGGGGGTCCTCAAATGCATATCCTCAAAATGCAAAGTGTCGAGGATAGTTGTATGGGCAAAGTTATAGATTCGACTAAATAGTTCCTATTCTGAAAAAATCTCGAAAAATTTTCGGAGAGTTTAGGAGAAAATCGAGGTCAAACTTCAGAAATTTTTCAAGTAAATGGAGCGTCACTCGAACGTAAAGTTAGATCAAGACCAAATTCCTTCACCATTAGAATCAATTCGTCAAGAGCTACAATTTGATGTATAATTATGCGATGTTTCGTTCATTTTCACCGACTTCCGTTTCACCCTCACCAAAAACTTCAGGTGTCTAGAAAACCACTTTCCACACGTTTTTTCAAAAAAGCGTAAGCGAGACCTTTAGATTATTTTTGATGCTCTACACGATGGGCAAAGTGAAGTTTTCGCGGCTAATAGTGAATATAATAGTGGGCGAACCTGCGCGGAAAGACCCTCCTCACTCTATCTTTCTTGATTTATTTTTAATTAGAAAGAGGAAACGTACTAAGGCTTCTCTTGTTTTTGCATTTTTTATTGACATTGTATTCATCTTTCGCGTTCAAAATTCAAGATTCTTTCGTCTGGACGTTGTACAACTACAACACAAACAAGCAGTGAAAAATAATGATCATGACTTCAAATACGTATGCTAAATGCAAAAATCGATCTTGTATCACCAAAAGTTGATCAATTAACTCAGATAGTTACTCAAGTTATTATGTCTTGTGTATCCACATTCGCTAAAGTGTTTGTTAAATCTGATGGAGAAAGTCCAGGTATGTTAAATAAGACAGACAAACAAACAGACACTTTCTTTTTCCAGGTAAAGAAAGTGAAAAGTGAAGATATTTTAGGAGAAGCAGTAACTTCGACTGAGAAAAAGTTTTTAGATAGTTCTTCGATATTCTCTAACTTATTAGCAAAATTTCCGACTACAGTTCCCTCTTCGAACCTTTTTTTGGGAATATAACTGTCAACCTAGCTCTCAAACAACATATCTTTGAATCCTTTATCATTTATTTTGATTTCCTTATCCCATCTGAAACCGTTTAAATTCAAGTCAGCTTCATGTCAAGTTTCAGATTTATGCATCGAGCATCTCTCCTTGTAGTTTTGTATAGATTTTTTGCTCGAGATCATTGAACACAGCAATGGTCACGATGACATTCGACTTTTGACACTGTTGCAAACATTGATTTAACGTTTCAATTGAAATAATAGCTGCCTCTAACATTGGATAACCATAGTATCCTGTTGAAATGCATGGGAACACAATGCTGGTACAGTTATGCTGAATTCCTGCTTGGAATGAGTTTTTATAACAGTCAGCAAGTAGTTTAGGCTGAGGCTTATTATTTTCATCTAAATAAGGCCCAACAGTATGAATTATATATTTATAATTTGACTTGAATCCAGACGTAATTACACAATGTCCAGTACAACATCTAACACCTTGGTCATCAGCTGGCACTTGGGAGCAAAATTGTTTGAGCTCTTCTCCAGCCAGGCTATGTACCAGAAAATCAAGTCCACCACCTCCGAGCAACCCTTCATTCGCTGTATTCACTATGGCATCCGCTTTCACATCAACGATGTTGCCATAGTAAATGAGCAAATTTTTATGTAAATTGATCTGGTTTATCTGCTCAAGCGATTGTAAATTCAAGTGTTTCAGAGCTTCGTCATGATCTTTTCTGTCGTTGTGATTTGCTTGTTTACTATGAATGTCAGACATTTCCTTGTTTAACGGTTATTGTTTAACTATTGGTACCCGTTCCTGGACTATTGAATGTGATTGATTGATTGATTGATTTTTATTTCGACAACAGCAGTTTTGGACAGAAAAGAGTAAACTTTAGTATTACAATACAAAAATTTAACCAATACATAAACATATTGTCAGGAAAGCAAAAAAGGTTTTAAACATCTATAAAAATTGCCACCTTTCTATCCTATTTTTATTTTTATTTTTTTTTCCCCTTTCACAGTTGTAGGTGCTGCCTCAGTTTAGTTTTGAAAGATTTTATTGTTGGCGAGATAATTACAGTGTTGGGGAGAGAGTTCCAATCGCGAGCTGTCCTGTACAAAACAGATTGTAGAAGAGTTTCAGTGCGCGCAAATGGGATAAAAACTTGTCTGTTATGCTGTAATAGACGTCCGGATTTTCTACTCACATCAAACTGTGTAAGATTGAAGCGAGATAAAGGTGATAAGCCGTTAAGGACTTTAAAAAAATACACTATTGTGACCCAATAAAGCTCGTTATATAATTTCCTGTCTTAGACACACACGCCGCAACAGAACAGAAAATCTTATTCAACACTACTCCATATCTTGCTGTTGTTGATTGTGTTTGTGATTCACTTTCTTTTCTTTCTCTTTTTTTTTATTTTTTATTTTTATTTGTGATATAGACCTCTGTGTTCTTGATTTTAGTCATGTCCACTTCTTTTCGTCTCCTACGTTACTATAATCTCCCTGCTTCTGTGGAGTACCGAGCAATGGACACAGCCCGATTTGGTCATGTGTTTCCTAATTAAAAGTTTAAATTAAAGGTTATACAAAGAAGTATTTGACAGTTCTACGTTTCTAGGTTTTGTTGAAACTGGCTCACTGAAAGTAATTACATATTTTTTGAATTGTTTTTGGTCTGTTAATGTGCGCTAAAGTCACATTTCATAGGTTTTTTATCAATAACAAATGAAGTGCAAAATCATATAAAATTTGATGTTTTTTTCTGAAGAAGCGTGTCTTGAGATTTCTACATATTCCGAATCAGCGTGACGAGTTACGTTGTACAGCGAAACGATCTCGTCTTTAAGAAACTTGTCGTCAGCCCACCCACTAAAAGTTTTATAATTCACACTATGCGAAAATTTCTTATATTTCTACCACTTTGAAAAAATCTGGGGCAACGCCCATCCACTAACAAAATCCTACTAATCTTTACTATACTTTCACAGCTACAGAAAACTCTGTGTCGGATGACTAATTCTGAACCCTCCCTCTCTCGTTTCACATATTATTCCCAAAAAAGATGCTCAAAAGCTAGAAAATCACTAAAATTTGACTTGAGCATTGCAGTTATATAAGTATGAAAAGTACTTACACTATAATAATCATTCAGTGTGCAAAATTGTGTTGATGAGTCTCTACTGTCTGTGTTTGATTTAGCCATATTATGTGTGAACTAGTTTATAGCACAACTAAGCGATTTGCGAAATGGGTTCTCTCCTGTTATGCTTACTCTCCCAAGCCAACTTTCTTGGTTTATTCACGCTGTAATCGCTAAAAAATCGTGATTATCGCGACGAGATCATGACTAGCTTTTCCTAGTGAATGTACTTGACGATAGGTACCCGAGTACTTTATTTTTCTTAGGTACCCTGCTACATAAATGTCACAGGTGCTTGAATTTTTTTCAAGTAAATATTGCTTGAGAGATATTCAATCATTTGCGTTGGACGCAGCATAGGTACCAGATTTCTTTTTCTTCCACCGTTTTGTTTCGCGTTCAGACATATATAAAAGAACAACATGTGCTTACAAGAATGATATTTAGGTACCCGCTAAGTAATAATTTACTTGCAGGCATCTATAACATTCTTGTAGCAGGGTACATATGCCCAAGTACATTCACTACTGTTATTTCTCAAAAAGCTCCTACTCTGCGATCACGATGCAACAATCTTTTGTAACAATCGAATGGCGAGGTCGCGGCGTGACGCGTTACAGTGAAAAAAAATTTTCCAAGTTTTAAAACCACATCGCGATCACAGTTTCTTTTTACAGTCACGATATGACAAAGAATAGTGATCCGACTCGCATGACAATATGCCATTCAGCTTTTTATTCTCCTCAGACGTATGTTATATGAAAAGCACATTCGATTTTCGAAAAATTTCCAAAGATTTGGATTCCGTCGCAATTCGTCGACACGTTAATTGTTTTTCCTATTTCGTCGATATTTTATAGTGTCGGCGCCTCACTAACATCTTTCATCGTCTCACCCCAATGTTGTCGATCAGTCAGAAAAAAAATTAATAAGTTGATGAATCGGCATGATACCAGGCTTTGTCACATCACAATAAGTCGACAAATGTTAGCCTTGATCTTGACTTTAAATTTTGATGATAAAATAGAAATGAATAAGAATCGTGACTTGGTTAACATAGATCTAGCATCATCGCAGGTTAGTGATTCGACTGCGATCGCGGGAAGAATAGCACAACTCAGTGAACAGAAATCGGGAATAAATAGCGATCGTAATAAAATATTCTGAAATGACGAATGCTTTTTATATGACCACGAGAAATGTGCGACCCCCATAATTTGGAGAATACACATTCGCGGAGAATTGGATTTTCTATAAAATGAATTCGCATTCGCTGGCAATTCATTTCGGTATGCACTGGATGATAATAACGTGTATTGATGTATATGATGTGTTTGCGAGTTGTTTTTTTTTAAACTTTATTTATTTATTGATGAAACAAATAGTTATAACTAAGACAGGTCAAAAGAGAGTAAAGCCCCATTATTATCATCCTGTTTGCGAGTTCTCTGCTATTTTCTGACTAGTTTAGGTCACCATCTAGATTTCTTATGATTTTTATTTATACGTATTCAAACAGTCACATGCTGATAGTTCCTGAATTTTTTATTTATGTATTTCTGATGTGTTTTCTATGTCAGCTATTTTCGAAGAGTTTATTCAATGAATCCATATCTTTCTAAACAAATACCTGGAGGTACCGAAGTGGAGATGTCGGGTGAAGGGGAAGATGCCAAAAAGAGTGAGTCGTGATCGTTATCTAGCCTAGATGGTCACCTGAACTAGTGAGAGAAAAGATGAACATAGTAAGTCTATAGCCAGTATGAAGACATGTTGCATACCGAGATAGTAAAGAATAATTCAGTTCTCCCCGAATTTGCGTAAATCAAAGTTCCGAAATGGAATTTCTATAAGTAATTCTCAAAATTCTTAAAATTCGAGTTCGCATTTCCAGTTCGATTTTCTATTTTATTATATAATTATGGAAAATGCTCAGCGATTTTCAATCTGGAAATTCCTCGGTGATTTTATAAATGGATTGGAAATTCGAAAAAAAGAATTAATTTCCAATTATCTGGAAAATCACCGAGGAATTTCCAGATTATTGCTTGTGTAGCAATGAAGCTACTCTCCAAAAGACAACTTAAAATTTTAGACGTGTTAAAATACATTAAAATTACACGCTAAAATCTGCCTCATAACACACTTTGGGATAACTAACGCTTTTTAACATTATCTCCCGAGATAAAAAGCGCATTTATGGATTAAAATAACACCATTGGAACGCATCGAAAGGTTAAAAAATATGTCTTTTACGCGTTAATATTTTTTAAAACATCGTTTCTGCATCGACAAAACGATTTACAACACGTTCACAATTCGTCCAGAAAATTTTCAAAACTTTCTGAGCATTGTGATACGTGTGTGGATGCAGAAATGAAGTTTTAACAAACTTTGACCCATAAAGACATATTTCTATTGATTTTGGAACGCGTTCTAGTGATGCTATTTCAGTCCTTAGACGCGTTTTTGACCTTGGAAGGTAACGTTAAAAAAAAGTAACGTTAGTTAGTCCCAAACCCGCGTTATGAGAATTTAGTGTATTTTCAATGTATTGTAATATGTCTAAAATGTAATAAAATTTTGGTGACACGTCTAAGTACGTTTGTTGTTTGCGTGCAGAAACAAGGGTTTTTTAAAGAATTTTTTAGACCCAAAAAGCTTTCCCAAAAACCGTGAGCTTTTCATTTTGAAACGACCACGAACGCTTTTTAGGTTTTTGGCCTAAAAAACCCGTTAAAAAACTCTTCTGAGTTTTTTTATCAGTTTTTTAGTCCAAAAAACTCTTTTATTGTAGTTTATTAATCTACGACTTTTTTTAGAGTGCTTTCTCTAATGCGTTCACTAAAATGCATTCAGATGCGTTTGAGTCAAATAAAACGCGTTTTTGAAGCGCAGTTGAGCTTTAAGTAGTGACTTTTAAAGTCTTTAGCATCTGACATAAAAAACAGTATAAAACACGGTAAAGTTAAATTCAAATCCAAATTGTCAGACTAAGTGCAAGAGTAAGTACTAAAACCTGATGAAGATTCAAAACGCTTGCAACTGTCGAGAATGTAACAGACTATAAACATCTATGAACTTTAAATGGAAGTGTTAGATCAACAATCTTTGTTGTAAGAACTTCGTGGACCTTGGAAACTAGCTTAACCTTTTTTCAAGTCTCAGATCCCTAGTCGAATTTCTGCTTAATTTTATTTACACAAAAGTATTAACTTATGACTTGCACATAATATGACTGGTCTACGTATACCGTACCATCTTCGAATTTTCAACTATCTTGGAAAATCGGTATTGATTTTCAAAAAACTGGAAAATCGATTTCGAATTTCAAGAATCTTGGGAATTATATATAGATAGATATAATTATATACAACCGATTTTCCAGAATATTAGAAAATGAAACTCGAATTCCCGTATTTATAAAATCGACACCGAATTTTTATATTTTTGGCAATTCTATGGCGATTTTCTGAATACAATGAAAAGTCACTTTATAGAAAATAGGAAATCGCGAATTTCTAAAAAAGTCAGAAAATCTACAAGCATTTTATAAATATCTGAAAAAGATCCACGATTTTCCAGATCGATTTTCTATAAACTAGAAATTAATTCCAAATTATAGTGTAAGAACGAGTAGAAATAATCAAACAGATATTTTTATGTGTAAAAATGTTTACTCTATCTACCACATGTAGAACAGGGCTCTTGAAAATTAAATTTTATTTTAATCTTGGTCGTAAACTGAAAATTAGCTCAAAACAACAGTAATAATTAAATTTGAGCGCTCTATCCATCTAATCTGGTTATAGGTTTATGGGACAGAACTGTTGGTCGCTGCATGAGCATTTAGAATAAATCAGAATCTTGGTAGAGAAAAGCGGAAAATATTGCCAAATATATCGCCACTATTTTGTCCTGCAACCTCTGCCATTTTTCTCTGTATGTTTTCCGATTCTTGAAAACAAAGCAGTAGTCGTTTTCTAATCTGCATTTTCTGTTACTTGTAAGCGCCTGTTATATATGATAATGAAAAACTTACGTGTTCATCTTTTGTTCGATTATTTAAAAAAGCGACATTGTTTTTATCGGAATTACGCATTTACTTTTTTTGTCTTATTATAATTCTTGTATAAATTTTTTAGCACTTGATTACATTTAAATAATGAATCCTCATCGGAATATTAGTATAAAAACCAATTGTTTTCGGTGAATATTTTATTTGAATCATCAAAATAAGTTCATTGATAAAAGTCTGACCGTTTGATGAAGATACAGTACGAGTATCATTCAAACATGTGCATTATAAGCATTTAGCTAAACGTTCACTGTAAAGTTTTAAAATGATTGTCAAATAGGATGATAATCTTTGATCGCTAAACTATTGACTTAAACAATGAGATTTAATATTGAAATTTACTTGGATACTCATTTCGCCCCATCATTAATTAAAATTTCAAATCACGCTAAAATAGGCAAAATGGGTAATTCCACCTAATAGAGTTTTTCACTAGGTTTGTGTAACTCTCGAAAACAACCGTTCTTACGAGATTCAGCATGGTCGGTAACCAATGTTTTCAGTTTCCCTAAGCTGAAAATAAGGAGATAGTTCTGTCCCAGCAAAACTGAGTCCTCTCCGTAACGGAGAAAGCTAGCAATCTCGGACTTGCGCATATCGTTAGAGGACATTTTGACCTGTCTAACCATATAATTTGAGTTGAAAGTGTAATGAAAGTTTTTAAAATGGTAGTCGAATCAAAAACGATTTGTCAGGTACATCATCTGCAGATGGTATTTTCTAATATTTATTTAATAAAAAGATTGCTTCAAGTCTTCTCTTTCGAACGGCGAAAGCTGTAAGTCTTCATCTTTTTTCTGTTGAAAAGGTATTTAAAAAGTTTCATAGTGCACAGTATTTTGACTTCAATACCAAAACTGTTTATCACAATGAGTCACCGTGTTTCAATGACGGTTATTTCAATGAATTCAATGGTTGCTCGACTTTTTTCTCAGTCATCTATAAAATGTTTGGTAGTTGTTTTCATGTCATCGTTTTTTATGAATACATTTCGATGTTTTGAGTCATTAAGAAGATTTTCAAACGCATAGCTCTATCAAAATCGCTTAATGGTCGCCAAGAAAGAATCATTTTCTGATTGTTTTAATTACTTTACTATTTTATTTTTCTACCACGATCAATATATAATTACACAACTTTGACCTTCTCCCATAAGTATGACTGTTCACTTTCTCAAGTAGTATAAGTCTAGAAGAATCGTAAGATCTATGCAGAAAGGGATGAATCATTGAAAAAAAAAGCTATTTTTATTCACTAATTAACTGAATTGCTTGAATATGTTGCAAAAAACGAGAATTTTTTAAGCTAGTAGATTTATAAAATGTTGTGTCATTATAAATGGAAAGTAATAACAATAATGGAGACAAGGAAGTGCATTATTATCTTCAAAACGTCGAAAATGAAAGATCTCAACGAGGTTCTTGTATATGACTAGTAAAAATCAGTTAGCCATATCTTAATATAAAAAGTTTTTGGTCAATTTAAACATCAAAATTAAAATTTAGCATGTAAAATTATCCTGTAATCATGATACTGAACTATGATACTGATAAAAAAATTGCATTTTTGAAAATGCAGCAATTAAAGACAAAAGAATGACAAATTTCTGAGATTTTTGTAAGATATAGTAGAAATAGTCATGAAAATTCAGGTAGTCAAGACACTCGAGATAATGGTTGATAAAAATGTCAAAATTCATATTAGTGTTTCGACTTCAAAAAAGTATTACAATGATTTTTTTGCTATTGAAGAAACATGACAAAAAAGACGATTCGAATACACTAATATGTTTGAATTTTTGTTTTGTTTTGGACTGTTTTATAGCGTTTACTAATTTGGTTTGAAATCAGTGTGAGAGAAAATTGTATGCAATCGTAACTGTGTCAAATTATCATCAAGACTCTTTCTTCTTTCTTAGTCAGTATAATATTCCTAGGCAACATTTGAAAGTATCTGACATGAGATTTTTGTATGATAGCGGTCGATATTTTGACCGATTTCAGTGAGTATGATATTTGTTGATCCTATTCAAGAGATTCTAGTTTATGCTCATAAAAACACATAAAAAACGAGCCTTTGAATCATCCAACAGGCTTTTTTTAATAAACGAATAAACTGATTAACAATTATTCTAACTCAATAATATTCCGAAATAGTAATAGATATAACAAAAGCACTTTTTTATTCCTATCAGTATTCACCTATTTGTCTATTGTTCTTGTTTTTTCCATTTAAAATTTCTATTTGTTCCTTCTTTTCTGGCTAACACATTTTTATTTATTTATTATAACTTAGGTATGATGCCATAATAGAAAATTTTCTCTTACATTCGATTATTCTTCTTTTTTTTTTTGCAAGACCTCTTCCTCTCTTTTGATAAGAAAACTCTACAGAAATAATACAAATGGTTTCTTTAGGACAAAAAAAAAAACAGCAGCACAAAAGTACAAAAAAAGTCAAAAAACACGCTTGTACACACACACACACAAATAGACACAATTACACATAGATTCTGATTTATTTTACATACACACACACATGTATCTGATGTTGATGCTCTATATATACATAAAACGGTCGTAGTCGTCTATAGAATATGAATATTTAAAAAAAAGCGAAAAAAAAAAATATATATATATATAAAAAGAAAAAGCTGCAACGAAAAATAGTTTAGCGTTTTGGAGGTAAAGAAAAACTATCTTAAATTTTTAATGACTATAAATAAACAATGTTATTATTTTTGTTCATTTTTATAAATATCTCTATTTACACATATTTTCTATATACAAAATGGCATCACTCACACACTAACACGCATCATCGTCTAATCTATATGAATAGGATGCTGGATTGGATACAAATTGAATTAAATTGAATTATTTTCTAAGCTCCACATAATTTTTTGAATAAATCACGTTTATCAAACAATTGTTGATTTGAATCGACAATATAATTATCTAGATGAAATTTTAAGAAGAAAATTTTTTTATTAAAACTATAAAATTTAAGAGTTCATAAATGAGTCGAATAATTCTGAAATAATTACAAGATTTGTAAAAACAACATTAGTGACTCGACTCATCAAGATTATCTTTCATTAGAGATAGAAAAAATCTAAATAGTGAAGATTTTAATCAATTATTAATTTGAGTATAGCATACCTAAATGATGTGCTGCATTCTTAATTCCTTGAGAAGAAAATTGAGCCAATAATTTCCATTTACGTTTTTTACCATTACCCGTACCGTTGATTGTTGTTATCGTTGTGTTTTGTTGTGTTATGGCTTTTGATATTTTTCGTTTTTCTTTAATAACAACATCAGTAGGATTATTAGTCTTTTGTTGATTTTCAACAATTTGTTTATCTTGTAATTGATTTACTATTTCACCGGTACGAGATTCTTGTTGTGTAATTAAATCATAATGTTCATGTTCATGTTCTTCTTGTTGTTGTTGATGATGATGATCATCGATTAAAACATAATCGGATTCAATTTGTTCATCGATAACAATCCAACTTTCTGTCATTTGATTTGATAATGAGGATTTATTGTTTGAATTGAAAACTGCTGACGGTGATTGTTTCATAACAGCAACAGACATTTTATTTTGAAAATTAAATGGAGAAAAAAATAATGGAAGATAATTGTAATAATCCAATTCTAAATAAAAAATCAAAACAAAAAATAGAAATATGAGAAAATCTGCTATATTTTTGTAAAAATTCTGATTGTATCATCAAAAAAAAAAATAAACGCAAAAATTTTATATCTTTTCTCATATATTATTTTTATACAGATTCTATAAATTTTAACAACTATTCTGATCATGACTCTCGTGTGAGATAAAAAAAAGATACATGATATAATTTCATTTTGTTCATATGCTTTCAGTAGTAAGTCTATATAAATAAGTATTATTTTACAGCTTAAGACATTTAAAAAAAAATTAACTCTAGCTATTGGTACCGACATTTTACTCTACATTTACACATAATAGTGTGTTGCTTAGCTATTAATCAATCAAATAGTTTTGAAGATAGCTAAAAATACAGATATGTCACTTTAAAATGATATATCTACATATTTCTAAAACCATTTGACAACTAACAATAGAACATCAACGAAAGACAAAAAAAAAAGTACAATAAATCATCTAAGTTATGTAGAAAAATATGCTAAGAAATATATAGCATATTTGGTTGAAAATAAAATATTCTATCGTATTCATAAATATAATAATCGATATATTAAATATTAAAAACTTTGCACCATGTTTCACTCGATAAAAACAACAACAACAACAACGACAAACTTAAAATTCAATACAAAAACTAAAATCAAAAGAGAATGTTGCACGGGATAAAACAGAAAAAAGTGCATACTATATGACTCTTCTAATTTCGTCAAAGAAAACAAACAAAAAGAAGGAGAGAAAGATAAAGTATTAAAACTCTAAGAAGTCCATTAGCTTGTGCTTGAATAAACTTATGCTATTAGCTGTAACAACATGCTCTGGTAAGTTATTCCACTCAATTGCCGTTCTGTAAAAACAAGAATATAGAGTGGTATAGGTCTTAAAAATATTTGCCATCCTACTGCTCTAGATATCTCGTGATTTGTATAATTTGTCTCGTGTAGACAAGGAGGGGAAATAAAAAAAGAATGGTTTTCTTGTATTTTTTTGTTGGTAGAAAAACATGTTCTTTATTTCTTTGTGCAATATCGATTCCTTTATAACTATATTCTTGTTTAGAAATACAATCTCTCCGGTTATTTATACCATAATATTAATATCATGGTAATAGAGAGAACAAGACCAAGACATACACGTGTGTTAATTTTTATTAAAAATAATTTAATATATCTAACTCAAAATTTTATAATCTTCAACAATATATACTTATTCTACAAATTTGTGATTGATACTTATCTCAAAAGAAAAAAGAAAGAAAACAATTAATGCAACAGGATATTTTCTACAATGATTCTACTTTTTAATGATCATTCCGACATTCGTGTCTTTTATATAAGATACAATAACGAATAGTACAGTTAATAAACGATATATGTGTTTGACACGGTAAAGGTCATTCATTTTTCTTTGTTATAAGAAGAAAACATAACACCGTTCTCAAAAAAACAACAACCAAACAACAAATAATAATAACAGCATATCAGATGAAAATTGTTACTGTATGTGTGTGTGTGTGTGTGTGAATATATTTAGTCAAAAACAAGGTCGTTTTCAGACACAAAAACAATCTTACTTTTTTTTATTATCTGACAGAAAACCTAAGATTCACAAAGCGCATATAAAAAAAAGAAGAAGATACATAGGATAAAACGAGAAGAAAAAAAAGCAGAAAACATACCAAAGGACTACTTTGATGAATAATAATTATATGATGGTTCTTTTTTAGTTTTTTTTTTATTTATCTTCGGCTAAGAATTAATAATACATGTTACCCTATGTAGACGAACTAGAATACATCATATTTTTTTTTTCTTCTTCTTCTTCTCTTACAATTTTAGATCGTCAGTGAATTACATCAGACATTTAAAAACATAATTATAAAACGACATACAAAAAAAAACAAAAAGAAAGAAAATTTTAAAATATTTACAATAATAACCAATCATAGAATATACCATTCACTATTCAGACTTTACTATAATCTTTAATATATAAATTATTTACACTCATTAGTTCTAATATGAATGTTTTAGAGATCTTAATACAAAAAAAAATTAATGGTAATTTTTATATGAATGCATTTGTCTGGAAAATGAAAATTTTAGAAATAAAACACAATTATTAAGTAAAACTTTTGATAGTTATCAACACAATATTTTGCGCCATATTTATCTCTTCATGCTTATATAATAAGAAACTATTTAATTAGATTGATATCATTCAACTATTTGTTAAAAATGTATAATTAAAGGCGAAACATGACAAGATCAAAAAGCAATTAAAATATATTTTAAAAAAAAAAAAAATTTATTTATAAATGATGTTATTTCTTGAACTCCACTCTTCGTACAATTCGTCCAGTAGTTTCTATGATCCTCAAGACAGATATTTCGTCATACTACTGAGTAAAAATTAATTAAATAAATGCAAAAAAAACCAAGGAAACCATACATTTTCCACAATCAGAACGACAAACTATTTAATAAAACATCTCATATGTCCTTCACGTTCTTTTTTCTTTTTCTTTTTCTTTTTTTTTCATCAATTACAGGTGTTTGTCAATAAACATATGATTTTTGTATATGTAGCTTTTAGTACTCAAATAGAAGAAGAAAAAAAAAGAGAACATTCGGTATTATTATTTAGAACGAATGTCTTATTTTTTCTTCGATTGTTCCAAGATAATAGTATTCGACTGGGACTACATATGCATGCCTCCTCCATTTCTCATCATCATTCTCATTGCATTTTATTCTTATCAATTTTTTGTGTTAAACAAAAGTTTTAATAACATTTCGTTTGCCTTTTTTTCTCTTTAGATAAATCTTTAACAAAAAAAAAAGAAAAAAAAAAATTAAACTTTTTTTACACGTTGTTTAATGTTCTTCGAAAAACCAAATTCTACTTCTCATTCAGAACCATTAATAGGTCGCTCTCTCTCTCTTTTCTGTTTCTCAAAGTTACATTGAGTTTGAAAGAAACACTATTTACCGCCTCAATTTTTTGTTTTTTTCATCGTCAATAGACTATGCGTCGTCAATCATTTATCATAATAATTAAGAGTAAAAGAGCAATTTGAGTGTCGCACAATCACGTAGCATAAATGTACATGAAATGTCAAATCTACTGTTCTACGTTTCATTAAACTTCGTTGGGCTAAATACAGTGAAAAATATATTTTTCTTTATCAGATCGAAAATGTGTGTACATTAACAAATCTTATGAAATAATTTGAAGCGATGACTAATAACAATTGTTAACTACTTGAAATTATTTTGTAGAATATCTCTATTTCTTTCAACACATTAGTAATAAGATCTTTGCTGTTAAAACAATCACTGATAGATTATCAAACAGTTTAATTTCGTTTTGCTCATTCTATACTTTCAACTTTAATCTAACTGACTGATTGATGATGATGATAAATAGATAAAGTATCGTCACGTTTGATCTAATCTTTTTTTTTGATTTTGTTTTTATATAAATATAAATCGTGTAAATACTTACGTTTAACAAAAAAAGATAATAATAACAGAGGGATTTATGATAAATGTTATTGATGAAAAGATATTTAAATGTTTGAGAAATCAGGAGGGTATATGACTTGTTGAGAGAAAAATATAAATTTCTAACGGATTTGAATGGTTAAATAAAAAATGCTATTCTATTTATATATATATGTATATATAAATTAGTTTGTTGGTTGTTGATAATGATGATGATGATGCGTGTGTGTTCCCCTCTTTTTCTAGATGGAAAACAAAATACATGCACAGTCTCACGTTCTCTCTCTGTCGATTTTTATTTTATTCTATCGAACGCCAAATAGGCCGTCGTGTTATGTGTCTCATTATTTTTTTCATAGATTTTTGGAGAAAAAAAAAAGAAGAAAACATTAATTTTTTTTGGAATATATTTTATTCTTTTTTTTTTGCTCAAATCAATTTCTATGGCCTGCATAGCACTCGTGATCAAGATATGTTTTCTTCTTTTTTTTTTCTTCTTCGGCATCCAAACGTCATTTTGACAACTTGTCATATGATATGTACATGCAGTTACGTAGTTAAAAGAACGACAAAAAATTATATAGGCATGTGACTGTTTGTAGACGGATCATCTAAGAGAAAGAGTAGAAAAAAGAATGGTCATGACATAATTTAATATAAATAGAGAGAGAGTGAGAGAGAGAGAGAAAGTATATGGTACTGCTATATATTAGTTCTAGAGAGAATAAGAGAATGAATAGCGTAGACCATACTGTCGATAGATGGACGGGAACGTGTGTATAACATAACAAATTGATCTTATATGCTAGTAGTGAGATGAGAATAAAACGAGAATTGTTACTTAAAGCCAAGCTTTTTATAGACATACATATATATATGCGTGTGTGTGCTCTTTGTACGCCACAACACTAAGAAAAGAGAAAAAAAAAACCACAACTGATAAAAAAATATTCGGTTGATTTTGTTATAATAAAAAAAAAAAACCACAACAGAAATGTTTTTCTCCCGTGTTTACTCTAGAAGAGTCTAAAATAAAAATTTCTTGAAGCTAAGAATAGAAAGTCGTATAATGTTTTATAGACAATTTGGACTAGACAATTGTCGATTTTTTCATATGATTTTAATATTTTGATATCTTACCTATGACACACCATTTTTAGAATCATTGAATGAAGCTCTATGCAAGATTTAGACAATATAATTTATTTTTATTTCAATAACAAAAGTGTTCAATACTGAAGATTAATTTTTATCATTTTCAATTTGTTACAAGAAGAAGAAAAAAACTTCATTCAAGTTGTTTTTTTTATAGAAAAAGACATTTTCTACAATCTGATATTTAATTCAAATAGTCGGAGGAAAATAATTTTGTGAAGTATCCAACAGGTAATCAAAATTGTGATTGATTGATGGTCTTAAGAATTAACAGATTTATGATTCTCAAGAATGGAAAATATCCTTGAAGTAGATCATATCTAAAATTCTATTTTTTATATAACTTTATATTCTTGAAGAAAAATTGATCAAGGATCTTTTGTAATGAATAATTAAAAGTATTCTACATCTCTTTTCTGGTATAGTAAATAGTTTTGAACCACAAATTATTTCAAATAAATCATCTATAAAATATATTATGTTTTAGTTTAGAATGATCAGACAGACTGCTGTAATAGATCGTATTGTTTATGTTTTATCTTGTGTAGAAAGAAAAAATGAAAAATAATCGTAAAAAACGATATATCAGCAATAAATTCAAAATTCTTTCCAGGTTAAAAGAAATACAGTAGAAAAAAAAAATCACATTAATTATCGTTTACTGATTCATTTTGATTTGATGATGAAGCATCAAGTTGTTTGTAATGTTGCATAGCATCATAAGCACATTCAGGTCCAATATTAAACAACGGATGAGTTTCACACTAAAATAGAAAAAAAGAAACAATAAAATACAAATTTTGAATAAGAATATTTTAACATACAACAGCATTTTCAATATTTCCACAAATAATATTTTTGTTAAAAGAATGTTGAAATAAACTGAGACCACTTAAACAATAACATGTATGATATAAATCACTACTACTAGATAGAGAAAATTCAAAAATTAGAAGAAAAACTTGATAGATAGAAATAGTTACTGTGAATTCGCTTTAGGTCGATCGGTAAATCCTCCACTTAGATTTGATTGACTACAAAGTAACACATATTCTTGTGCAGCAACTAAAATATTAGGTATTGTTTAATAGTGTAACAAACGTGTTTATAACACATACCAGAATCAAACATTCGTTCATCACGAACTATTGTATGTTCTAATAATAATAATAACAACAACAACCAATAGAAGAAAATCTATGTTTAAGTATAAATAAATTACCCAGTTTTCTTTCTGCCGCATCAAGCAATGGAAATAATGCTCCAACCCAGAATGAATAGCATCCATCAACTAATTTATTTGTTCGTCCTTGAAATCCACCTTCAAATTCCATTTGACGATTAACTGTCCATCTCTAGTTATTATTTAAAAATATTGATGAATAGAAATAGAAAGAGAAAAAAAAAATATTATTTTCTACATACTAATAAATTGTCCTTATCACATAAATTTTCTCGTTGAAGTAATAGTAATGTTGCATAACCACAAAATGTATAACCTCCATGTGCTTCACAACCAGGCACAGCACCAAAACCTCCCTCATATGTTTGACAACTAGACAACAATAATAAACATTAACATAAGGGAAGGATATAGAAATGTGACTAATTACCTAACAATCCATTCAGCAGTGCCATTAAATAAGTCAGATGTTGCAATGTTACATAGAGTAGCGATGCTTGCAGCACAATAGGTTGCACTACAATTGAATTTGTATTGTTGAATATACAAAAGTATCGTATTTAATCCAGACACCTACCGTATATCACTTTCTCCATCAATATGTAAACTAAAACTTCCATTTGATGATCGTAATTCACGTAGCCAACTAGCAAGTTTTTCTCTATGATATAATAATTTATAAAAATCAGTCTGTTAAAATCTAGTCTATTACCTGTTGATAACGTCATAGGCTCTGTCACTTTGTAATATACATAAAGCATTCACTGCTGCATATGTGGGTGCTAAATGAGGTATTTGTCCGGGTCCACCTACTCAGTTCAACAAAATGCATGAAGAATGAGAAGAAAAAATCAACATATGAAGAACAATCATACCGCCAAAACCACCCTCTGGATTTTGACATCGTTGAAGAAAATCACAGATTCTAGAAACAAACTGATTTAACAAATTAATTTAAAAATTGTCGTCAATTTATCCTATACTTACTCATTTACATATGCATCGGATAATTTTTCATTTAATAAATATAATGATTGAATAATCCAATAAATTAACCATGGACGACTAGCATCCAACGACTACAAAAGCACAATTAACATACCATAAAAGAAATTAAATTAGTCTTCTGGCAAGCTTGTCTCACCTGCTGAACCTGCGGTAAACTTCTTAATGCTTTTAATAAATATCTGACATGATGTTCTCGATATAGTGTAATACTACTAAATGTCAATATATACATATAAAAGACACAGATGTGAAAAGATTTTCTTAAGAAAAAATTCTTACCCTTGTTCACGATGTTGATAAGATAGAAAATCTTTATAAATTTTTTCAACACTTTCTTCGCATTTAATCTAGAGAAGAGAAAACAATAGTAGAAGTTGATAGATATAGACAAAATGATGTTTACTTGTTCGTGAGTAGTGATTGTTGGTAGAATATCAGAACGATTTTTTCGTATCTTAAAAAAATCTTTAGCCGCAATACGTAACGATGGAATTAGAACAGTCGGTTGAGACATTTATCTGAAAAAGAAAATATATTATCATATCGTCATCTTTGCTAATTATAGCAAAAAGTCCAGCTAACATAGCATATCATTCCAATACTTTTTTGTACAAAGATACACTTTTAACTCTAAATCGTTCAATGAAATGTCGACTGATTTAGAGTGCCGGCGGCTGCCAGCACCGAAATTTTTGATTTCATACCATTATACTCTCCTTCTTGAATAAAGGAAAATAGGAAAAATTCGTGTCCTCTAGAAACTCCTAAGCAAAGTTGCTAAACTTGCTCTTTTGTCCAAATCCGCTAGCATCGAAAAAATTTTCTGGATCCGCCACTATTTCAACTCGAACTCGAAATCTTGAATTCTTCAGAGATGTTATTAAGGAGAGGAAACTTTAAAGAAAAATTTGTTGTCTGTCAGATTTGTAGGCTATACCATTCTGTCTGGGATGAGCAGAACCGAATGGAATAAAAAAGATTTTGAACAGGACGGCGAGGCCAGCTAACTCTGCTATCGTAACAGAATTCCATAACGGTTTTCCATCATTTTGTTTTGCCTATAATTCCTGAACTGGCAGCGATAGACTGTCGTGAGACATCTTAAGTTGAAGAGAAAAGTTTGATTAATATTTTTAG